TTTAGTATGCGAAGTTGGTCGAAAGATGCACACACACAGAAGAACGATCCTTTTGAAATTGCATTTGCAGAAACCTGCATTGATTTCCGGACAACCTAATATATATTAGGTCGTTCCGAAAGTAATGTCGCTTTTTTCAAATGAACGCCACATTTCATGGAATCAAGATTTTCAAGAGATCTTAGGAGCATTCGATGCAGCATTTCATCCTCTTTCTAATGGTTTAAATTTCATTACATAATGTTCAATGAGCCCTCGAGAAATTGCCAAAACCTGCGACTTATGCTTTTTGCCATGGTCAAGTTCGGCTATTTTTCTAAATTTTTGCACCTATTCTGCGAAGAAGTACAAGTGACAGTTAGATAGAGCAAACCTTGTAAGACACAAAGTAATTTTTTTCTTTTTCTTAGCTTGCTTCTTAGAGTTTCTGGAATCAATTTTTCAATGCCATCAAATTCCATATTTGGTCCACCCAAATCTCACAGAACAATAACCGGCAAGAAACTCGGGTGTCATTCGACGCAGCTTTTTCTCCTCTTTCTACCAGTTGTTTTTTGTTTCCGATTCATCAAGTTTTCCAGGATAAAACCATCATAATTCAGGTTCTCCAGGGCGCCCCAGGCTGTGCCCGAATTTTCGAAAGTTGCTAATCTGCTAATTTTACAAAGCAAACGCTCATTTGCTTTGTAAAATTAGCGTCAAACCATAATCCATCTTTGTAAGTTTCAAAATCCGAAGATTTACTGGTGTTTTTGATGCATTTGTGTCTGAGACGAGCCTGCTAGAATTATTATGACGAGCTTCGGAAAGTAGAAAAAAGTTGTTGTTTTCTGTAGGGTATATATCCCTCTAGCCATCCATTACTTGTTCTCCTTCCGACGGTTATTATAAAAACTTAGAAAAATTTTGAAACTTGGCCTTCTCAAAAAGCATGAGTCGCAAATTTTCATAATTTTTCGAGAGATTATTGGATTTTGTGCAGCGATTATATAATCTTTAGAAAGAGAATGAGATTCTGCATCGAATGCTACCAAAATCTCTTCCATATCTTTGTTCCACGAGATGTGACATACGTTTGAAAAAAGCGACATTACTTTCGGAACGACCTAATATAAAGCTGAATGTCCGTATGTGTGCCTGTACAGTATATCCTATACATAAAGCTGAATGTCTGTATGTGTGTCTGTCTGTACGTATGTTCCGAATAATTTTTTGTTTGTGAACCGATACACTTTGGGGCGGGGCGGATGTCATAGGCTACTTTTCGTCATCGATCGATATCGATTTTATTGATTTTTCAAAAAGTTCGAGCTACGGGGCTGGGAGTTGGCACAGGGGAGTAAGTGGGCCTGCTGATTACGAATATATTATTGACAGGACCGGGAGGAGCGTGTTCGCCAGCTAGTTTGGTTATAAATCTTCCAAAATTTGGCAAATAATTGATTCGCGTAACTCATTTGAAAAAGATGTCATTCTTGATTTCTCATCAAGCGAATTGTTAGAAAGAACAAATTCATTTGACATTATGTTTATAAATGATACTACAATAAAAACAAACAAGTATTCGTTCCTACTTTGCAAAGTAAAACATCGAGAAAGAAAAACTTTCTAGGGTTAGGGTAAGTTTCGCACTTTCAAAATTCACAAAAATCCTAGGCCCTTCTTCCTTACTAAATAAAGAACAGGGATTAAAGAATAAAATCATTGCAAGAAGAGAAACGAAACATTTTGTAAGATTGCTATACTTTCGTGTTACGTAACGGCCTAATCTCATCTGAAAAAGATTCATTTAGAATGTTCGCTTGGCCTTTTGGCCAATAACCTCAAGTCTTTATACAAGACAATTTTTTGACGAAGGTTATGAGAAGGTCGTAGTTTCCGCATTCATGAGACTCGACCCAGTTTTACTGCAATGAACGTCGCACTAATTGTAAGCAACTTGCTTCTTTCTTCATGCGATTCTCGACAATGACCCAACCTAGCGAAGAGCCGAGATTGAGGGATTTCCTCAAAAAAAAAATTCTTTATTTTGCACTTCTGTACAGTCTTCGACTTCAAAAAATACGGAAGGAGAGATCGGTTCACGCTATCAATTATCAGTGACGGAATGCCTGGTGATTGTGTCAGCCACCGCCATGACCCACATACCATGGCCGCACTGTTACATCAACACTCTGAATGACTTTCAGGGAAGGAAAAAAAGGAAAAAAAACTAACGATTTATTTCTAAGACAATCAAAATTTCAAAAAAAAATCAAAGAGTCATAAAATGTGCTTTAGCGATTTGCTTAGACCAAAATGGTCCTACTAATAGGTTTATACAATAATAATGAGTGTTTCTGCCCAACCGCGACAAAAGATATAAAAAATGTGAAGAATATATTTTCGATAGAGCAAGCAAGCTCTTCGAAATTCAGAGAATCGCAAAAATTCTATAACATAAAGGGTCTGGAAGAAAAATCTTCAAAATTTCAAACATCCAATAAGTGCCTGAAAAAATCCTACAAAACTCCAGCTTACTCAAAAAAGTCACTTATCGCAAAAGCATATTATTAGCACTATTCATACGTACACTTGCTGTACTTTCTTCCATGGCTAGAAGTTCGGAAAATGAAATATGCTTTGCTTTAGCAAACGAAGATTGGATCGTTGCGACATAAGCAATTCTGTACTACACACCTTTGGAAGCGAAAGAACAAATTTCCAGCATTTTCTATAAAATTCAACATCAAAACGCAAAAAGCGATATTTCCGTATTTTTGGCCTATCATTTTACAAGTTTCGAGAAAGGGGCGGCAGGTGAATGTCCAAAATGGATAGTAGATGCGCGATCAAGTTGGAGATTTGTGGATTTTTTGTACAACAATTCGTTTTTTAGGTACCTAAAATTTTATAGATTTTTCTTCCAAACTTCTAATGCATCACACTTCTGCTATTGTTTAGAGACATAGTAGAGCTTGCTTTGCCCTATCGCATTATGTTTTAAAAATTTTAAACTTTGCCGCGGCTTATAAGGAATGTTCATTATTTTTCATCAACTAAGTAATATGATCGAAAGTGCATCAAGCTGTATAGGTAAAAAAAAGAAGGAAAGTTTTCGTGAGATTTAGGGCAAAACTCTGGAATTAGTCGCTAGAGAATGTGGCAAATTCGAAGCTACGTTAAAAATTGTCCATCTGGACATGTGAGGGCCATTACTTACTGCTCGCTTTCCCACAGCGCTGAAATCTAAAATTAGCCTCAAACAAAAGAGTACCTTGTTGGCAGCAAATGCAGTGATTCACTTCAAGTTTGGTGCGAACATGTGCGTAAGGGGACTTGAACTATGGCTAAGTTTGTGAAAATTATTTGGATGAAAGTTATAACAAAACTTTAAAATTGGTGAGGGGACTTCAACATAGACAAAGGAAGCTATATACCTAAAAATTTTGCGGATTTAAGAATGGACCCTGTTTCGAAAACTCCCTTTTAATTTCTCGAGTCCTACTTATAACCACTGAAAACGATGGGAACGGGTAGTCTAAGTGTTACTTGACTATTCTGTTTTCTCGAGTACACATCATGCTTGAGCCTGTCGTCTCAAAACTTCCACATTACAGTAACTCTCCTGATAGTGTAGCCTTTACGAGAAGTAAAGGCTGGTAATGACGCGAAGAAAATAAAAAAGAGGATTCCACGACCTTCTTGAAGAATTCAGCTGTTTCACAAGCTTACTGACAGACTCCAATACCAGTTGCGGACCAAGGGCGACACTGGTATCGGAGTCTGTCAGTCTGCCTCCCCCCCCCCCCCCTCTCCCCCGGAGAATAAGTCGCGATAAAATTTACTTACATAGGTCACAAAAATGTGCAAGTGACCTGTTTATTCTTGTAAATAATCTCGAAATTTTTTTAAACTTTTCGAGAATTCAACTTAACCTTGTAAATTTTTTTCGGGGCATGGCTGGCGCCACGCCCCCTTTTTTAGATCTTAGGGGGTTATGGGCTCAGTTGAGAAGCAACCTAAAATTTTTTCGGAATGCGCGGCTAACGACTCGCATCATCATTTGAAAGAAGATTTTACCCCTCCCCCAACGGAAATTTGGAGAACGCCACTGTCCATTACCGTTCTCCAAGATTATATAGCTCAAAACAAAACTTTCATAATGATGGTGAGTGATGAACATCTGAGGGCACAGTGTCTCCTCAATGGTTTGGTCAGGGCTGCCAATAAGTTCCATAAAAATTCTACAAATACATCTGGCCGAATACAGCATAAACCCTTGCAGGATTACAGTGGCGGTCCGAGGGGGGGACGCCCCCCCCCCCGGGAATGGGTCGCGAAATTTTTGAAAATTACCTATATGGGTTATAAAAATGTGCAACCCCCCCCCGGTCCGAAATCCTGGGACCGCCACTGCAGTATTAGTATAGATTTTTCAGCCTTTTGCCAGCTCTCACTAACGAAGAATGTCAGACTTAGCATGAAAACAAAAAAAAAGACTTTTCATATTCGGGCTATTTTTGTTATCCGGACATTTTAGCCTTCGGAAAAAAAGCAGCAAAATTCCGTATGGCTGTGATATGATAGTATACATAGGACCAAGTTGGGTCTCCCCAAAATACCCACGTATACTGTTTTATTTTTGTTTGTTTTTTTCTAAATTTTTAAATTTGGTACTTTGCTTTCAAACTTCCACTGATCCAACTTTTTCTGCTATCGTTCAATAGCCATCTAAGAGAGCTTGTTTTGTTAGGGAAAGAATAAAGAATACAGTCGCAATGGCTTGAACTATAAAAGTCGTAACAAGGTATTTGTAGGTGAAACTGCAGATGAATCATAGTCGAAACCACAAGGCATGTTCCTTTCATCATCACGCTTAAGACTTTGTTGGAAAGGTTGGTAGTATCGCCCCCATCTAGAGTCCCGAACAATTTCTGTTCACCTCAAATTTTATCTCTGCAGTTATTCTCGTAAAATAAAATGAGAAAGAAAGAGGCTGAAAGGAAGACATTATACATTCAAGTTTTATACTATAAGTCATGAAGACAGATAAGAGAGCTTGACCATCATAATGCTCAAATGTCCAAAAAAAGGCATGCAATTAGCAAATTGGAAAAACATTAAGATATGCTATTATCATACAGATGCCCCTTTTTCAGGCGGATTTTCGGCAGTGTGCTCCTTCGGGACATCCGTAGACTGCTCTGAAGAAGCGCTTACCGAAGATTTGGATTGGTCTACTTCTGGTTCAGCAACAACTGGATCACTACTGGGGGCAATTTGAGATCGCTCAACATTTGAACTACCACTACTACTTTCCACAGGAGCAGTATTTCGGGGTGGTTCTGCTGTACGGGGTCTAGCATTTGGCATAACTTCACGGAACTCGATTGTATACTCGGGATACATACGATAAATCATAACGGTCACAAATTTCACATTATTAGCTTTCGGGTAGTTCGGTATATAGAACGAGGTCACTTCCATCCGATGCTTCAGAAGCAAATGCAGATAGTATCTGAAAGTAGATTAACTGACATGCAGATCGACTATAGTCTAGTAGATTCTCCGCTCGATATAGTGTGCTTACTGTGCCAAGACTTTGCAGTGGAATTTCGCGCGAAACAAATAGCTACGCGTGGAGAATGCCGACAATCTGCGCGGGCAAGTAGCCTGCATTACACGCGCATCAGTTTGTTCACGCGCAAACTTTACCGCAATGTCTTGGCATCGCAAGCTTTATACTAAGCGGAAAACTAGACCACACAATTTGGATAATATCTACTTTCCATTTTTGTGATATAATTAATGGCTTCTCGCTTATCACTTCTAATCAGCAGCAACTCCAAAATTAATGGGCCTTCCATGACGTCTTTCAAATAAAAAAAGCTAGGCTCACTGTGTAGGAAAGTCGAAATTCACATCGCAGACATTGCATTTCTCGCCGGTAAGTTGCGTCTCCGTTGCTAGCAGTTTATCATCATCGTAAAACGATAGTTTCACATCCAAAATGCTTCCACCATGGTCTACGACTGGAACAGACAAAATCAGACACGTTTACGTTAAAAGATAGAAAAAGTATCGAATAGATCTAGAGGTCTTAGACTTCATTAAATTACATCAAAAATGCTTGAAAGCGATCTTCCAATGGTGACACAATAACTTTGGAGAGTACCAATGCAACAATGAAATCTGAGTATCACCAAATCTGTCCAAATAGTATTTCGATACTTACTGTGTTCTATAGCCTCGACTGGTCTGTTGAACGACTCCTTGGTCATACAGTACGGACATTTTTCGCGCTGAAGTGGACCAATGCTGTAGCCTGTGTTTGTGATACGCGGAAGCTCGATCTCCCGCGGAGGAGGTACTGCTGGCGATGACGACGTGGGTTCTGACGAGAGTGCAGGTGAGTGAAGAGGAGTTGAATCAGTTGCTAAAGTATTAACGTCGGATATAAATGAGAGAAGTAAGATTATGTAAGAGTCGCCAGTTATTATATCCTTGTATGTTATTCCATGCTAGTTTGGCACAAAAAAAGACAAACGCTCAGAGACTAATGTTTGACAATCTTCTGCTCTTAACCGAGTACCTGATGTTCGCGACTGCGAGCTTCTATATGATGGCAAGTGTAACTTTTCGCAATAACTTGCTACTCAAAAAGAACAAGAGAGATAAATCATGTGTCGTGACACTCGTTGTACAACCTAAGGGAACGAACGGCCATAGGTTGTCGGTGTTGTCAATGTTGTCGGTGTTGTCGGTGTTGTCGGTGTTGTCGGTGTTGTCGATGTTGTCGGTGTTGTCGGTGTTGTCGGGTTAAGAGACAGTTTAGAGAGCGCGCGAAACGTGGAGGCTATCATGAGTCCTACAACGACCGGCAACCTCGGCAACCTATGGCCGTTCCCTAATGTCCAAAATTAAAACCTTCAGCTCTTTTGGAAAGTGATGCTTGACGGAAATAACGTCATCATTGGCTTCTGGAACCATATGTAAAATCATGAGAGGAAATAGGCATACAGATACTGTGTAGTGCTAGACTGAAACGGATGGAGAGACAGATTTCAAGAGCTTCTTCGACCTCATTAAAGGCAGTGTCCGGGCAAAAACTCAATTTTAAAATTTTGTGCTTACAAGGGCTTATTCGCTGTGCTAGATCTAAAAATTCACACCGGAGAGCGTAAAAACGGCAAAAAGGGCTCTAACGCAGGAAGGTGATTAGTAAGTGAGCGGGCCCTCCCCATTGTAAATTCAAGCTCCCAGTTCCGAAACGATCTTTTTGGTCCGATTTGAAGCCATGCGTTTGGTGGAAATGTAGGGCAACCAGCGGACTCGAGAAGATTGCTCCGAAAGCTGCGAGCGTGAGTTTACAGCAGAAAGACCCCGCTCATCTGCTGATTTCTCTCCTGCGTTAGAACCCTTTGTAGCGCTATCCAGCGTGGATTTTTGGACTTAGCATAGCGGATAAGCCCGGAAGCACAAAATCTCAAAATTGACTTCTTTACCCGGGCACTGTTATCAAAAACACGAGTGATAGCTGAAAGCCACTGGACAAGAGTTGCCTCCCTCCCGCATAAAATGGTCACAAACTTTTCAAAAAGATCCACATCACCTCAAAAACTAGGCAGATAACCTATTTTTACTAAATTTTAAAAAAGAAATTGTAAAAAATATGTGCCCTTGCACACCAAAAAAAATTCTTGAACTGCATTGCTTCACTAACCTTTTTCTCGGGTTGGTGGTCTCCGCTTAGCTATAGGTACCGCTTGATCTCGCATGGCGGCCATGGCCGTATGCTCATCCTAAATCAGGGATGCTGACTTGACAAGCAATATGAATGAAAAAACACCATGATATGCAAAACTGACCAATTTGCGTTTCCTCAACTCTCTTCGTTTTCTAGCTGCCTCTATCTTGCGCTGACGCTCTCGCTCCGCTTGCAATTCTTCCTCTCGTTCCCGCTCCCTCATGTACTGTCGGCGTTCTTCCCGATGTGATTTCTCAAGCTTATCCACACCCCTAGACTTGCCCTTAGCTCGCTGCCTCATTTCTCGCTCTAGTTCTTCTGATTGTCGCAAAGCCGGGGAGCCTAGAAATATGAGCACTAGATTAGAAACTGAAAAGTAAGTATGTTCCCACCTTTATTTCTATTCGAATCATCCGAAACGGTATGTCCAACACGACCCGGTTTCGAGTCAGGTTTTCTCAGTTTTTCGTTAGCTTTTCTCTCGCTCTGAAAAAAAGTTGACTACCGAGAGACACTCGAAAACACGGTTAACAAACTCAAAAGATCTCAAAAGATGTCTCACCTCAGTCTTGTCCCAATGATAGATTTGATAAACCAAAGCGAACGACTGATGTGTAATGAGATGTTTCTGGTAATCATGTCTTTCTCGGAATAAATCACCACATATGAAGCACAAATGGTACTGCAAATCAGCAGCCGTTTTGCGTTCATTATTCCTATAACATAACGATACACATGAAATACTCTCTTGTGAGGCAAAAAATCAACCAAAAAAAAGAATTGAATAAAAAGTTACATCAAAAAATCAGCAGGAAAGAAGTTACCTCAAAATCAACAAAAAACAGATCTAGATAAAAAAAATTACCTCAAATACATTCCCATCTTATTTGCAGCTGTTTCTGATTGACGTGGTTCTAAAAGCATATCAATAAGGTTCGACAAGATGCAAATTACGCCGTACTCTATCCAAATAACAAAGATAGCCATCGAGGGAACGTGCAAAAGGTACAAAGAAAGAGCAGCAAAAAATTTAAGCAAATTGAAATCCACAACAATAACAAGATAACATGAATATTCCGCTGACCTATTTCCTAAACTATTGCACTGAGTAAACATGACAAACCTAGCAAAACTCGAAAGAAAGGAATTTAATGTGACCATCTGTGTAGATATAATTCACAATGAATCAAATAGTTCCGCCAAAACGAGCTTCTGGTGATTTGATCGTGGCTTTCTCATACTCCAAACGTTCCTGTTCCCGTTGCAGCAAACGTATTCGATTCGAGAGTTCCAAATGATATTCGGCCTTATCACCATACTGGCAGTACAAGTCAAAATCAGGTGAAATTTTTCGTTTGATATCGTAGATGATGTCGTAGGTAGGAAAGGCGAACTCTCTGCAAGAAAGTGATATACAGTCGAGGAGATTCAGCGGTAAATATAGTGTGCTTGCACAGAAGGTGAAATGCGGTAAAATTGGCGCGTGAAGAAATAGCTTCGACTGTGACGCCGGCCAATTGCGCGCGCAAAATACCCGCAGTAGTGGCGTGGTTACTTGTTCACGCGCAAATTTCACCGCATTTCACCTTCTGTGCAAGCAAACTATATTTACCGCTAATCTACTGGACTGTACATTCGTATTATTGAGTTGTAGAAGTTCTGTCCGGCTCATTTTTTGCATATCGGAGCACTTTTTGATAGAACAAATCAACTTCTATAAGGTGGCCTCCAAACGTTCACATGGTGCTTTATCAATGCGTAGAAAGCAAAAATCCAAAAATATACGACTACGCTAAAAAGCGTTTCCGTCACAAAAAAAATCCCAACGGATCCCCCCCCCCTTAAAGGCAGCGTCCAGGCAGATCTGGACCTATGGGGCGGGCTTTTACGTGGAAAGTACTTTTGGGGCCCTAACTAAGGCACTGCCCAAGCGGCAGCTCAGGTAGTGCTGTAATGGCTGAGATATTCAACTCGAAACTGGACTCCGTGACCGTGTTTCGCATGGATTCATGGCGCAAAGCGTGGATCCTGGCGCGAAACTGCCATGAATCCATCCGAATACGTTCGCGGGGGCCAGTTTCGAGGAGAATATCTCAGCCATTAGAGCACTACCTGAGCTGCCGCTTGGGCAGTGCCTTAGTTAGGGCCCCAAAAGTACTTTCCACGTAAAAGCCCCATAGGTCCAAATCTGCCTGGACGCTGCCTTTAATGATTGCTCACATCAGATATGCACACAAAAGTGTTGTTTTTGTGGTCATTCGAGAAACATTGGCTAAAGAGGCGACAATTTCAGCTTTTCGAAATTCTTATGGTTGAGATTCTTTAGAAACTAGCGCATATGCAAGAGTGAAACTTCTACGGGAGTCCTGCAGGTTTGTGCCATGATACTCAAAAAAATATTCTAGTCATACTCCAAAACAAGCCAGTATTTATTTGATTTCTGAACAAAAAACATAACAATTATAAATGGTTTATGTATGAGCATGTGAGGGGCCGTAGAATCAAAAAAAAATGCGATTATTTGCGTGACTGAACATTTCTAAACTTTGACGTGAAACATCACGTGGAACATGTTATATGCGAATGTTTGGAAAGCTTTGTAGAATTCGTAGTGCTCTACTGGATGTTCGCCCAAACTATATCAACCCCCCCCCCTCCCTAGAAAAATTTTGTCCATTTCGGACAGGACATTTCGAATAACCTAATGTAAATTCGAAAAAGAAGACATCATTTTCAAACTGGCAGAATGTTGAAAGAATATGAAGAAAAGAAGAGAAAAAAGCACTGTTAGAGGGAAAAAATTATGAGTGAAATATTGAAAACATATTATTAAAATGACTCACGCAATGACTATCGCATATGTTATGTGAAACAAGAGGCTAGCTCCATAGATTTTCCAGAAATCTCGGAATTCTTCCTTTCTGTTTTTGTATAGAATTCTACTACGATTGGGCAGAAACTTCCACGATTTTAACAGAGGGAAGCATTGCCGCATTCCACTACTCTGCGACTGCGCTATTCTTCTCACTCTGCGTCTTCTGGAAGCACCAAAAAACGGTCGTAAAAATTTTTAACAGAGCCTTTCAGCGATATAACATCGGAGAGGTGATAAATATTTTAAAAAAAGTGAGCATCCTACACAAAATGGAGGACAAACGGAAAGCCTCAACTACTTGAAATCTATCTAAAAGCCATGACTCCATGAAGCTACATTAGATATCGTATCGCAAGAAATAACTGAAAAAGTCTACATCAAGAAAACATAGCTGATGTTTTGGTCACTAATTCATTACACCAGCAATGCACCAAAACTGGAGGAAAAAAACAAGAAGAGCGTTTAACAAAACATATGGAGAGAGAATGAGGAAAAATGAGTGAAAACTAATTTGCCAAGCCCTCAGCTATTTGAAAGCGATGTAAAAGCCATGACTCTTGCGAGAGATACAACGGCATTTAAACCTGTTCAGCGACAGACAGCAACTAGCTGATTAATTTTCCAAACATTATAAAAAATATCCCTTTCTACTGGCAGACCGTGATTTTTTTATGTTTAGAAAGCTGATGGTGGGAAAAAAAGGTAAATATCGCAAAGGAAAAAAACTTCAAACTGCATTCCAATTCGAAAGTAAACAACTGAGCATTCTGAAAAATAGGGCGATGTAGACTAGAAGATGGCTTTGGTAAGAAAAGAAAGCATAAGTGGCATAAGCAGAAAGTATACGAACAATAATATGGCGAGATCACGTAATTTTTTCACCAGCATTATTCAACCCGCCAAATTAGCAGCATGGACGTGATTGCGTACATACGGTAAAGCAGTTTTATTTTTGAAATGCGAGGCTGAAAATGGGATATTGTGAGCTTTGTGGCAGCGTATATCCAGATGGAGGACAGTCACAAACCATCCACGAGGTCAGTTCTAATTGATTTGGACTTTGCTCGATTTTCCTTCCTTGTGTGAGATACTCATTTTCTAGTCCGGAAAACGACATCAAAAAGCTGTTGAACGGCACATGCAAGCCGCTGAACTTCCAAAAAAGACAGTGTTCGTGGCACTGGCATCAAAAGGAGAGGCAGGCTACAGCTCAGTAAATTCTGACTTGTTGAAGGCGGCTTTTAGCACCGTAAGCAATTTTTCGGAAAATTGTGGTCATTTTCAGAGGCTTCAAAATCTGATTAGTTTTTCAGTTTGGAGAAGTCACACATGTTTCGTGTGGGTTCCTTCAAGATCATGCTTTTGTTGAGTTCGCCACTGAGGAGGCCGTTGAGAAGGCCAAAGCTGCTAAATCTTTGAAAATCAATGAAGTGAGTTCATGTTAGGCTTTTTGCTTTCCTTTTCGTACATCATTCTGATAACACTCAACTTTCAGCATCTTACTGGAGTCATCTACGAACGTCGGATCACTTTTCAAGATGATCATCCTGGCTCTTCTCTAGATATTGAAGAGGTAACTGCATCGTTCCACGTTTGACTTTCTTGTTTCTATGTTGAATAATCAAAGTCCCTTTGACTGTTCTCTATGAACAACCTCAAAGGAAAAGTCTGAGGTTAAAGGGCAACCGCCTATCCGAGTAAATGGTCATTCTGCTGCCGTCGATCGCAATTCCTGCTGACTTCGTCTTGCCTTTTGGGAAAGGTTGAGGTTTTATTGAAAGGTTGGATGGTTGTGAATTTTTCCTCCTCAATGGGTAAAATACCGGTACTGTTGGGTGATTTGTAGCTGTTATTCTTCTTGCATAATCTACTGAGCCGAATGTGTTCCATATTTGAGGGTGGTTGTTGCCGCAGCTTTGAGGAATTGCTTGTTTTCTGTTTTTTATTGGTTTCGATTTATCTGTTCACCTGTTCGCTAGTGATTTTTCAGATCGTTCAACATATAAAAGATCCTGCGTGTCAGGGCTTTATCACTCATGTTGACAGAATAGCCTCTGCTATAGGGACTACGGAGGCAGAGGTTTGAACTTGTGTTGTTGATATTCGTATTTAGAGCCACTTTTTTCAGATGTCGCGTCGTGCCGCTCTCTGTAAGCGTTTTGAAGATCTTCTCAAGCGCTATATCATAGATCCTACCGTAGTGCAGTTCGGTTCTGCAATAACTGGGGTTGGCACCAATGATTCCGATATGGTAAGTCGAGGTTTGCACGCAACAGGTATTAGTGTCTGTAGGTGATTCCACGACCACGCGGACTGGACGTGTTTGCGGCAGCCGCGACGCGCGCTTGAAATGTTGCGAGAACACGACTTATAAGTGGTCCAAAGCGCGTCGCATGCTCCGCACGGACGGCGAGTCCGTGCAGGCGATGAATTACCTTTCTAAAATGTTGCAGGATCTATGTCTTCTATTCAAACAAGAGACCGCGCTTATGTCTGAATTTGTTCGTGATGTGAACGAGTTGCTTTCGTGCCCAGCCGAAAACTTCCGAGAGAATCTTGTACACCCCGATGAATTGCGCGCTCTTTCTAGACGAGGTAGGTGATGGCACTTTTTCGATAGCTCTTCTCTGAGTAGAATGTTCAGATCAGACTGATGTGCTCTTTCGCATACTCAAAGAGATGAGGAGGGAAAAGTGTGGCTTTTTCAAAAGCTTATATGCCGTTTCTGATGCGCGCTGTCCGGTGATAAGATTTTCTGCGTACGACAGACATGTGAGTTTTTTTTAATTATCTGTTTCCTAAATTGTGGTAGCACATTTTTCAGTTGGTTGAGTTATCCGTGAACAATAGCATAGGCTATCAGAAATCTGCATATCTGGGAGCATTGGTGCAAAGTGATCAGTCTGAATTTCTTCGCAAGATGATACTTGCCTTGCGCTTTTGGGCCATGTCGAACGGAGTGTTTAAATCCGAAAGGAAAAAGGTGTGTTGACTTGTTGAAACAGGTTCCATGATCAACGATGTTTTGCAGACTTGGAACCTCAATTCATACACGATAACGTTGATGTTTGTGATCTTTTTACAATCGGAAGGACTTTTACCAGTCTTCACGCATTCGCAGACTCCGGTAAGAATACTACTGTAATTTCTATGTAGAATTAACGTATTTCAATATTTAGGAGTATGCGAGCGATAACAGAGTCGATTTTGCAGTTCCACCCTATTCTCTAGCAGACGTGGATATGAGAAAGTTATTCAGAGTATGTTTGCAGCACCGTAAACATTGATTTAAGATTTTGATTTAGAAGTTTTTCGTATTTTGCGTAGAAAACCAACTGGAAAAATCAGTTTTCTCACTGAGGAAGGGAGGGTTGGTGCCTTTGGCTGACTTGGAGGGGCAGATGAATTCCAAGCCACAATCGGTGCTTTTTGTGCAGGTAATGACTGTTATATGCGTGCCATTCATGTTTCAACTATAGCCGTAAATACTCATTCCCAGACACCCAGGATGTCGTGCTCTACCGCAAGGCCCGGTCTACAGTCTGCCCCAATCGGGATCAGGCCGAACCGTCGGCTGAATTAGCGCGCTCGCAGCGCTAGGGGTTTGCGCTGCATACGCGCGCTGTCGCAGGCAGCGAAGAGATTGAGGAGAGAGCAGACTAGCTAGACGCAGAAGTAGCGCGAAACCCTCGCGACGCGCACTCCCGCCAAGCCAATTTTGGCCTGGTTAGGATTGGGGCAGACTGTAGTTCAAATTTGAATGTCTACGGGATGCAGAGGACTTATCTACTTTTTCTGTTCTTCAGGATCCGATAGAGGTGTCTGATAATGTAGCAAAGAATGTAACTAGTAAAGCAGTAAAAACAATGAGACATGCAATGATGCTTTCACTTGCTGCGCTCAAGCAGAACGCTGATTCTTTTGCTGTGATGTTAGGTGTACTGAAGCCGAGTGAGACTACGACTTCACCTGCACCCACCACGCCTGCTACAGGTATGTGCTGTCAACTTGTTATGGTTTAAATATTTGTATTTTCAGAGGGTTCATGTCGCGTCTCTGAATTCCCAGAAACGGTAGACGATTGTGCAATGGAGACGTTGATGCAGATTATCCTGCTCATAATTTTACGATGTGAGACTCCAGCCATGCCTGCAAAAAGGGCTAGATTTGATTGCGTATGCATATTTTAATTGTATTCCACATGATGTAGTTCCGAATTTGTAGGATGCTGCTGATCTCGGTCTATTCGAGACTCCCAGGAGACTTTGGATCTCAAGAAGGACTCTGAGAAAGAAGTGGAGCGCAGTACTTGAGCCAGACGAACAATTTCCTCTACTTATTGAAGCTCTTGTAAGTTTTTTTTTTCATAGAAATTTCTGGTAAATATGACAATTGCTCGTAGTGACAATTTTTTAGGTTTCTAATTCTCTCTATTCATCCACACCCAGCGACTGCATCTTACAATTCCAAGCGTTTTTCGATTTTCACGGGGATTCGCTTTGGTGAGTTCTGGAATTTATGCCCTTTAGTATGCTTAAAAATTCCCATTCCTTTTTTTTTCATTTTCTCAAAATTTTCTATTGTTATATTTGTTTTATTTTTTACTTTTTCAGGGTCGGCTTGAAACTTGTCGATGGTGAAATGGTTGATGTTGTGAATGTGGCCCACTTCATTGAACAAATGCTTACAAAGACGAAAGATTATCTCGCATCCAACGGAAATTTGGATTTGAAGCAGTTCTCATTAGAGGAGTTCCAGAAAAAATTCGATGGTATCTTCAATAGTAAGAGAGCTTTAGCAATCTAGTATACGTGCTCATTGTTTTATTTTTGAAGTTTTTGATTTCAGAGTTTTTATATTTTTTTACTCGTGTGCGGGTTTTATAAGATCTTCGTTTTGACTCGAAAGAACCTCTTACATTTGTGTTTTCTCTAATTAACTTTCCTCAGTTTTTTTTCGTACGCGAATTGACCTCGCTTGAATAAATTCAACAAATGGAATTTTTTTAGCATTTCTGTGAGTTTTGATATAGACAGCTTGTTATAAGTTTTATCTTTTTGTTAGCTTTGACTATGGAAATTTACTACACGTAATGAATCAATCAAGCGAATGAGAGGCAATTATCACAATAGTCACATTGCATAATCTTTTTAATTATAAATTTACACAACACAATCTGGAAAAAAATCTGTACATGTTTGAAATCGATTCTCGAAGAACGATCCTGAGACAAAAAATCTTCTTTAGAAATAGCTGCTAATCGAGAGAATCCTATGCTGTAGCTGCGCATGGAGATTTATCCCTCAGTCTTCTTTGACTAGAGCTTTCGGGAATAGGCCAGGTGGCAGCGTTTTGAAACCTTCGACTTTTCCTTTGTACCAATAACTATCGACCTTAAGTGAGGATACCAATAAAGTTCTGATAGACGTTTTGCATCAGCTTACATCTTCAACAATGACTATCCTGTCACCTTTCGAAAAATAGAGCATTTTTGGATCATCACTAGCGTGGTCCGCTATTGCGGTTACTACCTGAAAAAATTCGGCGATTCGTACATATTTTCAACAAAAGCAGCAAACCCCTTGTCAAAATAACATTTCCTGGAAGCGCCTACACACCCACTATCTTAAAAACAATGTCGCCAATTTGTGCGGAGCGGATCGCGCATGGTCGCCTCGTTTGGACCCTTGCGCATGCGAACTACCCTCTGGGCATGTCACGCCCTCAGCCTTCAATAGCCGATCAGCCAGAGAATATGTTACTGACGCGGCGCAGAGCCGAAGCGAGGCGGAGCGGACACGCGCGACCCGAGCCGCACAAATGGGCGATGCTGCCAATGGGATAGGATATGATAGGGCATTGAGAGTATGCAGGCTCTTCAGAAATTAGTTTGATGGGGATTCCGACGCTTCCATTGAGAATTCATGTAACAGTGTGACAATGGCTTGGTCACAATGACAATTTCAATGAAACCGGAGGTGCCTACCTTTCCTGTGCCGCCAAGAGCTGCAATAGCTGCGAGTCCTCGTGTTTTTGGACTCTTGACTGGAGTACCGTAAGGCGCCAGGAACGATAGCGGAGCCAGACCCTCCTGCCCATTGACTCGTCCTCGTATCCAGTCCTGATCCAAATGTGCTATCACTTGTATGGTGTCTCCTAAAGCTGATAAACTAGCGATGTGGACTTTAAACTCCTCGCAACACTCTCACCTGCCCTAAATTCCAGATCACCAGCAACGCCTGAAGAATAATCATAGGCTGCAGTCATTTGCTCTAGTGATTGTGGCTGAGTTGAAGCTGGCGTAAGCGGTAGGCTACCGATCCCAGGGCATGAGACAAAATTCGCTGGGAAGATGCCTTCTCGACCATTCAATGTCCCTCGCAACCAATCAGTGCCAACTCGTTCGGTGGCTGTGATTTGGTCGTTTACTCGGAACTGGAGAAAGAAATTTCAGAGATTTTATCCAAAGATACTAATCGTATATCACGTACAGACAAATCTCCTGGAGTATCAGATTGGAAATCATAGATAGCAGTGGCTATGACTTGGTTAGAAGCATATCCAGAACTCAGAGGAACTCGAATATCCAAGAAAGACAATGGAATGATACCATGAGCACCAGTTCGGCTATTCATACCTAAACACGAACGGTCATCTAGCGCAATTTAATAGTGAGCAAATCTCACCATAGATCCATTGTTCATCAACATCGCGTTTTAAAACAACGGTATCACCAGCTGCACAAGATAGCTCGTCCACATGAGACCCAGTAAATGAGTATTTCACGATAGCATGTGGCTGAGACGGAGAGACAGCTGTAAAAAGACTACGCTTCAGAGAAAAACTTGGATAAATGGAACTTCTGCCCGGAATATGGGACGTCCTCGTATATGTTAGTGGACAAGGCTAGACAGAGCAATGAGAAGAAAAGCAAAGCAAGTGTAAGTAACTGGATTCCACATAAATAAAATCGTGCAAGACATTTACCGATGCCATTTAACATTCTCGACGTAGGCGGTATCGGAGGTGGAAGACGAATAGGCTCAGGAGTACCTGGAGTACCTGTCGTAGGAGGAAGTTCACAGTCATGCTTGTGAACACAGCCAAGAACGTGGTCATAGATATTGGTCATCGAAACTGAGGGCTAGATGGACACCATGGCAAAACTTTCGAGGTCAATCAGACACAATGCGCCTAATGCTACAATTAATCAAGTCTACCTCAAAATATTAGGCTGGAAACTAAGTTTTGCAACCGGTTTCATAACTTCACTCTCTTTGGATATGGCGCACTCAAACTTTGTTATGTAGAAGGCAATGTGAGCTACAAGTGAGCACAAATTGTCTAAATTTTGAACACGAAATAGAAAAGTTTCAGACGTTTTTTGAAAAGTAGTGAAATTTGAGAATTTTTGGGGTTTCAAGCTAAAATAAAGCCTTTGACAGCCTAGACCATGCGCAGTAATCCGGATTCGTCTACAAATTATTGCTGGAGGTTGACTCCTTTGGCCTATTAAGAAAGAAACAAAATTTAGGGGTATATCGAGATTCGGCGTCCTCATAAAGTCGAAAGAGTCGATGTACGCAAGAGCTGCTGGGAACGACCGTCAATGACTAAAGAGTCCGAAGCTCAAATTTCGCCGAGACTTCACATAGTAAGGTTATTTGACCTGCCAAATGCGAATATCACATTCATTTGTTGAATCAACGCCTTTTTCCTTGTTTAGGGTGAGACCCCATATCGTACACCTACAGTAATCCTACAAAGAAGCCCTTATCACGCAATTTTACTACCGTTTTCGTGATCAGCATGTCGGATAACACCCCTATGCCAGGTTTCAGCCAAATCCGTCAAACTTTGAATTTTCCCCTTCATACCATGCACCTACCGTAACCCTCACTGAAAGCGTCAGAATTTGGTAGGATAGCAGCTGCGCTTGTAGCTTACGTAATAACCAACGCAGTGGCAAAATTTGAGTGCGCCATGTTGAGTAAGAGGGAAGTTATGAGACCAGTTTCAAAACTTAGTTTCCAACCTAATAGAATGCAGTTGAAGCCCAATGTCTATGACCGCGGTGGTGAGACTAGTCTCAGTCAGAGGTCGTTAGCCAAAAGCAAAGCTTCATGCGGTTGAAGGCACTGCTCACCCAAGTCTGAGGTTGATCAAATTTTGTGCAGTACAACGGCGAGGTCCGTAAGTAATTACCCAAGTTCCGCTGCAAAAGTTATATTCCGAAGCGAGAGAATCGCTCCAGAACATGGATGCTGCTAAGGTCGTCATGCCCAGCAACGTGAGTGGTTGAAAGCCAAGCCCAAAACGGCTACATAACACCTAAATGTTGGAAATCCGTCATTTATTATGATAAACACAATTTCGACACTGGTAATCGCAGTTCCCAGTTGGGCTCTTATTTATGGACCAGTCACGTTGATGGGCATGGCGACCCCAGCAGCATCGGGAACAATTATCACGCTCCGCAATAGACTTTTTGCAGCGGAACTTCGGCAATGTTGTTAGTTAGGGCCTTGCTGTTATAGATACTGCATCTTTCACCAACCTCTTTAAGAGGACGGTGCCTTCGAGAACTAACACAGGTAACATTAGCACGATAATGTTTGAGTTATCATAATGTAACTAAGTATGCTCATGCCTGCCTGCTTTCACTGTGAAAAGCACAAGAAGCATGCAAGAAAACTGAAGCCATGCAAAGAAGCAGTGTATAAAGCTGAAAGAACGTACCAGCGCTAATATTTGATGAAGCCGGAGGCGGACGAGGTGGTGGCGCTTTCTTCGTTCCTAAATTCACTATCTAGCCTAATCACACGCTCATGCAAACTAAAATTTCACTCTGCACATATAGATAGAATGAAGAGAAGAAAGTAGAAAGAAGAAGGAAAAGTCATGCTTCGAAGGTGTGGTAAGCACTGCATATATGTGATGAAAGATTGAAAAATCAGTTTAAAATAAGATAGCATACGAACATTCGAAGTAATATGTATTTAGAAAAAACAAGAGAAAAACACAAAACAGGACTTACCTTGAGTATCTACATGCAAGGATCGCAGCTCATCGACCAATGATGGATAAGCGTTGCCATTGGTGGAAGTCGAACCGTAGTAGGCGGAGCTTGTAGATGGCGCAGTTGGCAACGGTTTATAGTCGTTCGCACTCTTGTATTTAGCAGGTGGAGTTGGTGAAGAATAACTCGAAGCAGATGAAGTCATGGAATTCGTTGAAGATGTCATCGAATGCGACGCAGCCGTGCTGCGATGCGGCGGCGGCGGCGGTGGAGATGGCGCTGCCGCATCTTCATGATGCTTTGGCTTTGAAGGCGGGCTTGGCCTGAATTTGAGATTTTCAAGAAAAATAACAAGCTTCCACAGACAAACGGCTCACTTGCTGCTGGCACTTTGCCCTCCATAGTGTTTTTCAAGTGCAGCAATCAGCTGATTTCTAGTCTCAGGATTTTGCGCTGCCGATTTGGCCACACTTCGAACCAGTGGGTTTTTGGCCGCGGCAACAGCTGCCTGGCGAATCTCAGGCTTCTTAGCTGCTTCGAAAAAGGCCTTAGCTGCCGAGACGGAGAAGGCGGTGTCTATAAAGTACCACACCTGAGCTGGTTCAAAAAATCCGTAGATATTGAATACTTTACTGCCTAGGGTGTCTCAGCTTTTTCCAACGAGTATACAGTCTATTGCCGACAAAAAAAAGTTTGACAGCTGTGTAGCCCCATTATTGCTCTACGCCAATTTCTGTGCGGTTCAAAGCTGTGTCAATGCATATTGGTTGTTCTATCATTCATTCTCTAACTAGGAGACGTGAGCACGCTTTGCGTATTCAATTTAGAACTAGGAGACGCGAGACCGCTTTGCACACATTGTCTAAACAAGCTTAGTCGCGTACTCAGCAGGTTCACACTTGTCATTTATCTCGTCCACGTTTATTCACTCTTTGGAAACAGGGAAAAACAAACTCAAAAAACAATGTCCGCAATGCAGTCACGCGTCTCCTAGTCGTAGAATATGATACATTTCATTAACTAGTTCATGGATGAGTAACGTGTTTTGAATGATTTACTATGAGAATTCGTAGAAGAACATGTTTGAGCTTGTTAAATCACACTGGCTTGAACACGTCCTTTCACGAAATCCTTATTTAACCAAAACGCATTCATAAACTTGTTGATCAAAGGTTACAGTCGAGTATCTAGATTTTCTGGCGCTATTCCAGTATCCGGGCCCCAAAATTTTTTTGTCATGGATTTTGTTGAAACTTGGCCCAGGGGGGTTATTCGGGCCGCTGATGGCGAATATCATATTGGTTTTGTACGGTAGCGTCATTTTCTCAGGTTACGGTGGATACACGGTAGGGGGTCAAAATCACGGATTTCGCTGAAACTTGGCCCAGGGGGGTTATTCGGCCCGCTGATGGCGAATATCATATTGATTTCGTACGGTAGCGTCACTTCCTTGGGTTACGGTGGATATACGGTGGGAGGTCAAAATCTCAAAATCCGCTGTAACTTCGCACATAGGGATTATTCGACATGCTGATTAGAAATGTCACACTTTCTCAGCACGAAAACGACTCCCTGCATGGTTACGGTAGGTTTACGATATGGGTCAAAATCACAAATCGGTATCTTTCCCCTTGCTTCGCTTAGGCAAAAGCCGCAGCAGGATGTGTAGCGCGCGGCGGTGGTCGTGTGTGCAAAGCTTCACGATTGTGCGAATCGCCGTACATTCGTTTCAGGCAAAACTATTTTTTGAACCCGTTACCGTGTAGGTACCGTAACTCGAGAAAAATAACTCTATGGTTCAAAACCAATATGATGTTCGGCATCAGCGGGCCGAATAACCCCCCTGGGTCAAGTTTCAGCGAATTCCGTGACTTTGACCTCCTACCGTATACCCGCCGTAACCCTAGAAAATGACGCTACCGTACAAAACCAATATGATATTCGGCATCAGCGGGCCGAATAACCCCCCCTGGGTCAAGTTCCAGCGAATTCCGTGATTTTGACCTCCTACCGTATATTCACCGTAACCCTAGAAAATGACGCTACCGTACAAAACCAATGTGATATTCGGCATCAGCGGCCCGAATAACCCCCCTGGGCCAAGTTTCAACAAAATCCACGACAAAAAAATTTTGGGGCCCGGATACTGGAATAGCGCCGATTTTCTGCTTAATATAGTGTGCTTGCACTGAAGATGAAATGCGGTAAATTTTGCGCGTGAACAAGTAGCCACGCCAGTAATGCCGGCATTCTGCGCGCGCAATTGGAAGGCGTCACAGGCGTAGCTATTTCTTCACGCGCAAATTTCACCGCATTTCACCTTCAGTGCAAGCACACTATATTGAGCGGAAAATCTACTCGACTGTACGCAAAACGTGCTCGCGCCTCTTACTCAGTGAATAAATGATAACGTATGGCTGTCGCGTGAGTTTAAGAATACGACAAAAAAACCAATACGCATTGAGACAGATTGTAAAGTTGTTCTTTCGAGAACGAATGATCAAAACCAGTCAATATATGATTCACCTATTCACTTTTTTTCACTGAAAAATTCAAATTTTCTTTAAATACTATCAATCAAACTTTACAACATGGGAGAGGAAAAGATCCAAGTTGAAGAGATAAAATTCAAGTTTCCAGTACAATTGATAATATTTACCCGATAGTCCTCATTTCAGGTGACTTCAAAATATTAGCATACACTCAAGGAGTTTCATGGACACGTTTAGGTATGCAACACTTGGAAATTGAAAATAGGATCTTTCATCGTGCAATACAAAAAAACCAGAAGTTATGAAACACTACTGTCTCATGAGAAAAATGTCAAATAAATAATTTTTTTGACACATACTTCAGTTTTTGTTCAAGCAAGAGATATTGAAAGTTCATTTCTCAACATAGAAAAAAGAGATGAAGAGCTACACCTAAACTCCAGTGTCAATTTGGAACATAAATTATTCTTTCATAGTATACACATAACATCAAAGACTATGAATGATAGATTACTATAAGAGAAAGACTGGATAGAGACAGAAGCTAAATAACAAAAAATTCTGCTGGAGATATACCGCAACCGATCAAAAGATTGATTTTATATTTATTAGTGAACTTACGGTTCTCGTAATTGAAATATGTGCAATCTTTTTTCTGCACAAAACTTGAGTCATATGATTTTTTTTGATAACTTTATACCTTATTGAAAAGCCAACTCAAGAATGTGATTTTCTTAGTCCGCTAAGTTTTTTTTTTTGCAGTCAAAACAACAAAGTAGAAAAAAATACACTATTCGATCATTAGCAATGGGGTCGGGATGGAGTAAATGGAGTAAAGTTATCTTTTATTCGAATTTAATCAAGCTCGCAGAGGTATAAGGGCCAAAAAGGCCAGGACGAACATTGTTTGTTTTGTGGCATCAACTTATCGATTATCCCTCTCCTATTCCCTCTTACAAAAAAAAATATGACATTAATTTCTTGAATTCATCTAATCAAACCAACAGAATCTTCGCCATTTTTTTGAGAAGCTTTCAGAGCATTTGGAGACATGACATTTTTTTGAAACCTCGAAATTATCAAGGCGAACCAACCAACCTGACTTTGGCATTCGGTGGGAATGTGAATATATTTTTTAACAAGTGAATAATTAGTGCTGGGCAATTGGGTGAAGGAAAAAGAATTCGCAGTGAAAGAATGTGAAGAATCACAACGACATGAGTGCGCACGCAACGAACCCACCCCTTCCCCCGATGATGTGGGTGCGAAATCGATTTCTGCCGCTCTCCCCGTCTGCAGCGCTATTTTTAAGGTGCCATGTGGATGACGGGGTTTTTGCACTCAAGATGGCCACGCGTATCAGCTGATGTGGTCAGGACAAGCTGCGTTCAGCTGAACTGCTTAGTCATTATTATGTAAATTGCTACTCCCCTCATCCTTGCAAGAACAGGGTCCACCCTTTTGAAGAAAATTTCATTCATATACAGTCCTTGCACGCAGAGACTGGACACCGTTGCGTTCAATCAAAATAGTTCGTGTTTAGGAGAGGCGGCAGACGGTTAGAGACATAACCGACGACGTCCGCAGCCGCGTCCTGTCTCTGCGTGCGATGAACCGCCCATAAAATCCATATCTGACTTACTTTCTCCGTTAGAGTCACTAAGTCCGTGATGCGGCTTGACAGGTAGTGGAGGTGGTTCCATAGAACGTCCAGTTACGACCATTGTACACAGAATACGCCAAAGTTCACTGAAAACAACTGCCCATTCACTATATTTGAGCAATCAAAAACAGAAGGCTACGGGTATCCACAAAAATTCAAAAATGGAATTTTAGGAAAGTGGTGACAAAACCAGTTCTCTGCAATCGTGCCAATAATGTGCTAATCAAATTATACAGAAAGTACACCAATTTCGACTCGATCCATAATTTTTGCAAGAAAAACACGAAAGATTTGTTAGAACGTTTGAAAAACTTGTCATATTAATAACATTCTGGTGTAATCTGTAATAATAGCGCTAATTTATCTCATAAGTATCAGAGAATTCAATCGAATCAAACCCAAAAAGCTGAATAAAAAAATTCGAGATTATAACTTTACTTAATTATCAGTTCATTTATCAGTCCTAATCTTTTCTGAAAAGAAAAAGCCAGTCATAGAGTCGAAGGCAAAACCACAAATGGGTTTCAGTGGACACTTTAGCAATTTCCTGGCAAATTATATCAGCGCATTAAATTACGCTACATACATCCAAATGTTTACTTATTTATACGTTCAGCTATCATAGGATACCTTCAAATTCTGAGCTAGATACACATCTTCCGATTGCCATAAATTGTTGATTCCCATATTAAGGACATGCAAAGAAAATGAGAATTTTGAAAATTTTTGTTTTGGTCTGAAAATAAGAAAAGTGTGTATTTGCCCATGTAACGGAACAAGATCAGCATTTACGTTTTTTTTCTCAAGGCACTTTGATAGCTGCGAATAGCAAAAAGTGAGCCACTTTTTGCTATTCGCGTACAACTTTTTTTTGGATGGTTTATGTAATGATTCATAACTGCACTTTGTGATTACAGAGAAGGGAATCATTTACTTAAACATACACATAGGTCAAAATTGCGCTGATAATCCAACAGCTCTTTCTATGATAATTCAGTGTGTCAGAAAAGAGAAAAAAAAAACTGATGTGAGAGTGATGATTCATTTCCTTAAACTTCAGCAATATTAGCCATGAGCAAATATGTTAGTATTCCATGTGACAATCTAATTTGTTGTTCTTTGGATGGGGAAAAAGTGGAAAAAAAATAAAAAGTAGCAAGTCATTTATATCCAGGAAAATAGCGAGAATCCTTGGAGAAAACTGTGCAACGTAAAAATGATGGTAGCTAATATGCAATTCTTGGACAATTATATGTAATTGAAGTGTTTAGTGAGACACAAAATTGTAAGATAGTTTCTTTTCTTGATTTAGTCGATAATACGTCATTGTTGCTAGTGAGGGAAAAGTGTGCGATAAGGCGAAAAAACTGTGCTAGAGCGATTATCAAATGCTTCCGAGCTGATAAGACGGTCGCATTGCTTGAACTATTGAACTTCAAGTGAGAGCTGAATCACCAGCCGCGGCGCACTTCCAGAGGTTGCATGTGTAACGGGAAATTTTAGAGCGAAATGTGTTCAGCGCGTAAATGTTAGAAGATTTGTTTATTAATGGAAAAAATCCAGATTTTTTTCAAAATTTTTTTCCCACTTCCAAATTCTGTGGAGAGTTGTGGATTTTCGGTATATATTAGGTTAATTCAAAAGTTCTGTCGCTTTGATTTTGAAAAATTAGCAACTGTTCCCAATGTGAACGTATTGACTTACAAAAAATACACCCAGACAGAAAAATTCATCGACTTTTTCATCGTATTTCCTCTACTCCCTTGAGACATTAGAGTCCAGACATTTGATTTTTTTTTTGAAAAATTCCGAATCACTTTGGTGAACCTCCCAACTTGCGTTATTGAAGAGCTTAGATTTCTTGCCTGCGTTTGTTTTACTACTGATGCTCCTGGAACTTTACACAGGAACTAGAGAGATAAAAAAGGTAAATGACAAATTTTTCATGTAAAGAAAGTGTAGGTGGAAAGCTGCCAGAAAATTTGGAGGTAGAAAGCTGCCAGAGAATTATCTTAACATCTGTAACTTCCATCTCTATCGTCTAAGATATAGATAGCAAAGCTCTTGCGAAATAACATTTTTTTTAATAGCCACCTTTCGTGCCGCTTTTTGTTGGCCGAAGAGCGTCAGCGTGATAAAATCTACTCGCTCAAAGTGTGTAATTTATTACGGAACAACCGTTGCTTAGTCATTGTTCGAAACAGTATGTATTATGACACATAAAAAACATAACCAGTGTAAGGAAAAAATCCTCATATAACATTCCTAGAGTTTGCTCATTTCCAAGTTTTTGAAGAGCTTCGGATTTTCTAAATTGTATTTTACACATGAAAAATCCAATTTCGAGTTTTTTGAAAATTCCGTAATCGTTTTTGGTAAATTTTAAAGGAGTAGATTTTACTTGCGTTATTGAATACCTTGAACACTCATGTCGAAGGCAAAAATTATGCCAATAGTTAGTTATTCATCACTTTCCCATATAAGCCTTGACTTGAATTTTGCGAGATTTTCTGATTTTCGGAGGAAGACAATAAAACACAGCGACTGTAGCTACTCAATAGAAACTTCTATCAAAAACACAATTTAACGCTACTTTTTGTGTCCATTATTTCTCGACAACGTACATGAACCCAGATTGATGCTTAGGCCTCATTTTTGTTCAGAAAAAATCACTGATTATGATCACGAATCAACAGATTGCAGAGCCAAGAACAAATATAATAGAATGGAAGAGACTCTTGCGGAGCATGCTTGCTGACACTGAAAAACTGCGCAAACATTCCCGACCAAAGGAGATTGTTTGTTTGATTTTCGCTACCTCGTAACGGTCGCATACCGTGCTCCGGAACGATTGTTTAATCTGGGTACGAATCAAATATCTAGAATATTTGTGCATGAACAAAGGATGTATTAGTCCAAAAGTCTGCTCGCACCATTTTTTGAGTAATCTCAACTTCCTTTTATGGATATTCTTGGGTAAGTCTTGTCAAAATACGGAAATCGTTTAACTTCGAATGGTGACTGGCTTCCCTCTTTTGAGCACAGGTTGCAGAGAAAAATTGCAAGAAGGAGAATATACTCTTTTAGTAATAGGGTTCAGCAATAATTTCAAAACGAAGCGAAATCATGAACAAATATCCAACCTTCTCTTTCTAGCTAACAATAGAGTTTTCAGAAGAAGTTATATATTCTTCAGTACTGCTGTGCCAGACAGGTTTGGTAGGTGTTATTTATTCCAATCAAGGCCTAACGTTTCGACGCCTTTCGTCTTCCTCAGAGGCCTGAAAATGGCTCAAAGCGTCATCTGTGAAAAGAGGCCATCAAGCACCATCCTCATTCCTGCTAGTTCTCGATCTTCGCTCAACATCCCTACCGCAAAAATTGTCAGCGCCAGAAAATAAACATACCGTTGAGAACACCGCTATGTCAGTTTCCGCACCGGAAGTGATGGTCTTGGCGGAAGGATTAAACTATACTATAAATTTGCATTTATAGTATAGTTTAGTCCTTCCGCCAAGACCATCACTTCCGGTGCGGAAACTGACATAGCGGTGTTCTCAACGGTATGTTCATTTTCTGGCGCTGACAATTTCTGCGGTAGGGATGTTGAGCGAAGATCGAGAACTAGCAGGAATGAGGATGGTGCTTGATGGCCTCTTTTCACAGATGACGCTTTGAGCCATTTTCAGGCCTCTGAGGAAGACGAAAGGCGTCGAAACGTTAGGCCTTGATTGGAATAAAGAATACCTACCAAACCTGTCTGGCACAGCAGTACTGAAGAATATTAGCGATGCCGAGGTTTAAGGAAAGTGGAACTTTTGAACTATTAGAAGATTTACCGCCGACAATGTTCCGCTTGACACGTGAGACGCTGTCGCTTCGACAAAAAGCGATAGCTCTTCGCCAATCCTTGATATTCCTCCGACGTTGCAAGAGAACGAACGTGTTGCCCACTTTCACCAAGGATAAAAGACTAGGATACACTTGCGCTCTCGATGAAGATGATCCGAGGATAGTGAAGATTTATCAAGCTATCTTGAATGTTATCATCAAAGAAAAACAGAGACTGTTGTATTCTACCTTGTTGAAATGTCATGCAAAAGAACAAGCTTGTAAACGTCTCTTGCCTTGTGAACGTTGGAGGAGGATTGAGGATGGTTCAAAGCTAATCTGTGATTCGATTCGATCTAGGATCAAAATCAAACTCCGTGCAAAGTACGATCGACTCTTGACTGATCTCTGCAAAAATTGTTCATGTAACAGAAATAACATTACCGACCACCGCTCTCAAGGACATGCATATCAGAATGCAGTTACATCGAGGGTCACGGTAATTGGGAACATTCCATTATCTTCCAATGTCATCGAGCTTCTTAGCCTTGGCCCTTCCTTCTCTCCTGCGCAGAATGTCAACTCCGCGACTTGTCGCAAAATAGTAGGAAGCCTGCACAAACTCAGAGACACTCTAAGACTACGCAGCAAATGCAAAGATGGTCCAACAGCAACAGCTCGCGATGCCAACAGCTTACTACCCTCAATTCCTTTCCCGCAGTCGTTTTACAGACAACCTGCTCCCGTCTCCGAGGTAGACATCAAGTTCCGTCTCTTATGTTCTGGTGTTCTCGAAGTTCTAAATAGAGCGAAACATCAACATCAGACTAACCTGACACCTAGACAGTGGCAAGGTTTCAAAGAGATACGTGAACTCGTATCTAACGGTTCGGTGCGATTGTCTGTAAGCGATAAAGGCGGCGAATTCGTAGTAATGCCTCAAGAGTTGGATCGACGAATAACAGCAGCTCATCTGGCGGACGCCACCACGTATAGAGTCGTCTCTGCGAAAGAATTTCAATCACAGTATAGAAAGTTGAATGACGCTTGGACCACGATAGCTAAATCTGCGGGACTCGACGACAGGTTTATAAGCAGGTTAAAGCTCAGGTCTCCAAGCTGTCCAGTGTTTTATAGCCTTGTTAAGACGCACAAGCTTTCCTTGCGGGACATGAGTTCAATGTCAGCGGACACTTACAAAATTAGACCGATTATTAGTTGCGTAGGTGGTCCCACCGATCGAATTTCGTGGTTCTTGAACAAAATTGTGAGCCAACTGCTACCCAAAGTACCAGCACATTTATCCAGCTCGCGTGATTTTATAGAAAAGCTTCGAAGCGCCAAGTTTGATTCGAGCACTGTAGTGGAGTCATTCGATGTGACTTCGCTCTACACTAATGTGCAGAACAACCAGGCTTTGCAAGCGCTCTCAGAGATGTTGGATAAATATGCCACTACCATCAGTACTTTTGGGCTTGGCAAAAGGCGGACGATGACCCTAGTGAGCGAATGCTTGAAATGTAATATCTTCAAATGGTCTGGGACGTACTACTCCCAGATACGCGGATTGGCTATGGGTCAGAGGCTAGCCCCTGTCCTCGCCATTTGCTTCATGAGTAAAATCGAGGAACCGGTGCTAGCCCGCATGCCGCTGATGTACTGCCGTTACATCGATGATTGCTGTATATTTACGTCCACACAGTCCGAAATGGACAAGTGTTTCGAAATTCTCAACCAGCAGTCGCAGTACATAAAGCTCACACGAGAGATACCGCACGACGGATGGCTCCCCTACCTCAACGCACAGGTCAGATTGTCTAATGGCATTGTTAGCATGAAGTGGTACCGCAAGGAAAGCTCGAAGAACATCCTTATCAATGTAAGATCTGCGCATCCTGCATCTACGAAACGAGCAGTGATTGGGAATATGTTCAAAACAGCTATGCAGATGTGCTCCGGAGAAAGAGAACGATGCGAGTCACGAAGTTTAGCCTCTCAGATTGCTTGCAGCAATGGTTACCACTGTCTACCGCGTATCCAACATCACGCAAATGGTGACCACATTCGTGATAATAAGCTCCCACTGTGCCTGCCATTTATTTCCGATAACATCAGTACGGCTTTTCGAAAGTGCATTATACGCGCACAACTGCAAGACGATGTTGTCTTAGTGAACATCCCAAACGACAATATCAAAAAGCAGTTGGTTCGAAACAGACTTTACGATCGATACTGTATAACAGAAAGATGCGTAGTCTGTCCGTACGGTAGAATAGGTGACTGTGCACAAGCGGGAGTGGTTTATCAATTGAAATGCCTTAGCTGCAATGCTCTCTATATTGGCGAAACTGGAAGATCACTTAGTACTCGCATAAACGAACATCTGGCAGATAAAAGGCGTAGAACCCTGTTATCACCGTTGGGCAGGCATAGGAACGAAGCGCATGGTGGGGCCGATTTCGATATAAAGTGCGAAATCTTAACCTATGAGAAGGAAACCTCGGCTAGGAAGGCGCTGGAAGCATTCTGGATTTCTTCAAAGAATCCAGCAATGAACAATAAGAATGAATGTTTGTCAGTCACCAACGACTTCCTTCCATTCTTATCGATATGCAATCTATAGATCACATGCTATGTGCATTTATAGTATAGTTTAGTCCTTCCGCCAAGACCATCACTTCCGGTGCGCTGACATAGCGGTGTTCTCAACGGTATGTTCATTTTCTGGCGCTGACAATTTTTGCGGTAGGGATGTTGAGCGAAGATCGAGAACTAGCAGGAATGAGGATGGTGCTTGATGGCCTCTTTTCACAGATGACGCTTTGAGCCATTTTCAGGCCTCTGAGGAAGACGAAAGGCGTCGAAACGTTAGGCCTTGATTGGAATAAAGAACACCTACCAAACCTGTCTGGCACAGCAGTACTGAAGAATATTAGCGATGCCGAGGTTTAAGGAAAGTGGAACTTTTAAACTATTAGAAGTTATATATTTTGTTGAACGATACACGGAGAATTAGATTTTTTGTTTACCCGCAAATGTCATTATTTTTAGATTTTTTGTTTATCCTCAAAAATCATTACTTTTCTCAAAGACGGTCGATCATCACAAGTTCTGCTCATTCAAAAAGAGGAGATCACCCTCATGGACATGACTGTTCGGTTATTGTTGTGAGGTTTTCAGTTTAGTGAGCTTGCCTCAAAGAACCAAAATTCTAATGATCCTCTTGCACATAAATCTGAGCAACTTATTCTGTTAATTTCTCATTTTGTGAACATTCATGCGAAAAAAAATCATGCAAAACAAGAAATTCGTAAATTTTCGAAAATGGTGCGAACTCTCGGACAAAACTTTTCAAGAGTAAGAGGATATCACAGGACGTATGCCCAACTCTCTAGTTATGTGGAATTTGTAAACATCTCTATTTTATTTGGTTTATTTTCAGCTTTATTCGATGACTGTAGCCCCCACTCAAATTATTTCGATAGTCTTTGGCACCTGATACTCAGCTATTCTGAACGTATGATCGCGTGTAAGAATACTACATGAGCTTACACCTGGCTCAGCGTATAAACATTTGGTCCACCCTGAGCAATAGAAATGGTGAGTTCTGTCTTATTTGGCTAGATTTAGTCATTTTGAAACCAAGCATATTGAGAACTTTTAGAAAATTCAAAATTTGTGACAGTATCAAGCACACACTGCAATTAAAATTTTTTAAAGACTTTCCTGTTGGGTCAATTCGCCACGAAAAACCACATCTATTCTTTTTTTTTCTAATTTTCCGCTCTATCAGGCATGGGTATAATTAGCATATGTCTGATGTAAACATATCAATTTTTATTTCCGAAAATTTCTGGATATGGCCAATAAAATTTCATGCAATGACTACCAATTTTCTCTGCTATTTTATGTATTGTGTTAAGAATTCCCAGACATTGACAGAGGAATAAGACTTCTATAATCTTAAAAACATCACTACGCTTCAGAAGGTAAGACTAAAAAAGAGAATACAATAATAGCAAGAACAAGTAATGCACACGAAGAATGTCAAACTTAGTATAGAGTAGCCAACCTCATTAATTTTCTGAAAAAAAAAGAAAAAGGGAAAGAACAAACTCAACAGAAAATTGTGGTCTTCTTTTGCGACAAACTAATATGGCAAAAAAATTTTTCTGGCTGAAACAACTTGCATTTTTTTTGTTCTGCCATCTTTTCATGTACTTTTAGTTCGGATTCATTCATGAAAGCATTCGACAGCTCATGCTCCGGAAATATGGTGACGAATTATGGATGGAAGTACTGTGAGCAATTTATACATCAACTTAAGGCGAGTTATCGCACGCAGAGATAGGATACCATTGCGGACGGGGTCGGCGTCTCTCTAAAAGAGCGCACTTCCATCCCTCTTACCGTCTGCGCTCTCTTCCATTCCCACGCTATCTTGGATGGTCGCAACAACGTCCGATCCCTGCGTGCGACGACTCGCCTACACTCAAATTTTTCATTTATGACTGTAACTCTCCTAAAACGTTACAGAAATCGAGCTGGATTCGAAAGTGGCAAGGAAAACATCATTAATCACTACTACTCCGACTCTGATACTTATCTACTGGTAGATAGCGTTGCTGTATTGGCAAGTACGTAATTATAGTGTTTTCCATTCTTCTGTCAACTTCACTGATCTGCAGAGATGACAAGAGAGCAAGTTTGGGAGATGTATGGGTCCTTTTTAATCGAGTATACCATGGAAATCGGTTGGGACGAGTTGATTAGGAGTATGAGCCCCAATTTGAAGGTTTGTTCAAAGAAGGGAAGCCTAAATTTACGTGCTTAAAAGCTCCGTCCATCAGAATGGAATTTGATAAAATTATAATGCTATACGATAGTGGAACCCTCTACCAAGTAAAAGCCCAAGTTGCACTGCGTAAGGTTGCTTCATAAGCGAGAAAAGTACGTCGCAAAGAGAGACAGCAATGGTAGCTCCGCCCCTGTGTCCATTCCGCCCATCCAGCATTTTCCGTTGACGCTTTTGATGTGGCAAAGCCCAATCGATACGCATACTGTTAGCGACTGTGATTGCCATGTCAAAACGCGTCTTGCTTGCATCTGACGGGATCTGCTTCGCGTTGAACTCGTCCGCGCTTGTCAAGAAAAGACCTGCAGAAGAAAGCGGTTTTTGAGAAATCTTGTGCTATTTTAACCTCGCTTTGATCCAAATAAAAAGGGAGGGAATTACAAAAATTTGAAAACCAAACTTGGTGAAAGTCTCCTTCGAAGATTTTTGCAGGGTTTTCTAGACAATCTCGATTCGCTTCACTATTTTATTGACCATGTCGTGTACAAAGCAAATCTTCGTGGTCCATCTTTTCGTTGTGAAGAAAATTCTGACGGAACGATCACCCTGCACTATTTTACTGGCCGTCCTGGGCTATATCCGATTGTTAAAGGTACGCTCATGAGAATCCGGAGTTCCGTGCAGGACCCTACCACCTTGTTTAGGCGTTCTGCGTGAAGTAGCACGACGAGTGTTTGACATAGAAGTCACTTTAAGCGTTACCGGCAGAACTCAACGTAGCGTTCAGATGAATAGTGGTGAACGTATAGAGGAGCATGTGATTTTTCTCATCAAGGTAATTAATCGATATATTGATTGATTCCAATTATAGCAATCCCACCTATATCTAGATCGCCGATCAAAGCCGCGGTGCTAGCACTGAGGCATTAACCAATGGATCACTGAATGCTACAGGTTTGTCTTGACATTGCCACTAATTTAAGATGCCAATCAATACAATCGATAATCTTAGAATATTTGGATCAGTCGTTAAAAATGAATGCTCTCGAGTTCTGCACAGCATTACCCTATCATGTCATTATCGATGAACATTGTCGTCTCGTGCAAACTGGGAAGGAATTGGCGTAAGTGAAAAAAACCAATTTTTGATTTTTTTCTTCTCATAAAAATGCTCAGTAATCATATCCCGAAAGAGCTCTTGGCAGTGGGGACGCCTATAATGCGAATTTTCGAAGTGAACAGGTAAGTTGACTTCAAAAAACTCCTTTCCATAAGAAATTTTCAACCCCTTCAGACCTCAAATCCCCTTCGATTTTGACAATATTTGCAATTTTATCAATGCAGTTTTTGTATTGCAAGTGAGAACTTCACCTACAGATATGCGTAATCAACGTGAACAAGGTGATAGGTGAGATAATAAACCATAATTCTCTTATCATTTTTTGGGAAAATGATTTCAGCTCAACTGGTACTAGCGCTGCGGCGGCGTTTCATCATGGGCATCATCTGAAGTTGAAAGGGCAAATGATGCTACTTAGCGATAGCAAAGTAAGTTTGGACCTAAACAGGTTCATAGTTATCTCAAAAAGTCTATTATCCAGGCAAAAGATAAAAATTAAGATTATTCGGAAAATCAGTCTGAGGCTATTTTCCAAGAGGAGAAGAAACAGGAAATCTTTATATCCTGGCACAGGAGACTTTATTTTCTAAATAAACCCACTCGTAGTCTTTCTTCCCCACCCTACCATTTCCATGTTTCTTCCAAATTGCCATTTTTTTTATTTTGACCACCTCAGACAAATGCCTCAAATTCTGCATGAAACGCTCTCGGACATTGATTAAATGTCTTCACTGATGGTTTATTTTTTAAGGTATGACACTGTGACCCATCGTGCACCTGCCGCCGTGATCGCTGCGTATGACGCGCGGGTTCGCTAAAGTGTCGCAGCACTGCGAATTTGCGTTGCCGCCTATCATGTACTAAACGAGATTCCTACTACAAAAGATTTTTCTAAGGGCTATGAAGATCGCTGTGATCACATGAAAAACTTTTGGATGTTATCAGATATTTCGCCGTTTTTGCCAACTTCCTTTAATCTGCTACAGAACTTGCGATTATGACCAACGAGCGACTCTTATAACTTTCAGTTTAGATTTTTTCCCTTTACTGTACATAGCAGATTGAATCATCAACCTACGCAGTCTTTGGGACATTATCTCCATGTTACACGCAGATTTTATGCTGCCCTTCCCTGAAAATTCCCGGTCCGCCCTAGCTTGCTTGATATTATTATACGAGGCATTGGAAACAAAACACCAACGAACGGACCGGGAATTTTCAGGGAAGGGCAGCAAGAAATTTTTCGAATAAATAGGCACCTTCAACAAAATGGAGATGATTGTTAAAATCTGCGTGGAACATGGAGATAATGTCCCAAAGACTGCGTAGGTTGAGGATCCAATCTACTATGTACACTAAAGGGAAAAACCTAAACTAAAAGTTATAAGAGTCGCTCGTTGTTCACAGTCGCAAGTTCTGTAGCAGATTAGAGGAAGTTGGCAAAAACGACGAAATATCTGATAACATCTAAAAGTTTTTCATGTGATCACAGCGATCTTCATAGCCCTCAGAAAAATCTTTTGTAGTAGGAATCTCGTTTAGTACATGATTCAGGCGGCAACGCAAATTCGCAGTGCTGCGACACTTTAGCGAACCCGCGCGTCATACGCAGCGATCACGGCGGCAGGTGCACGATGGGTCACAGTTTCATACCTTAAAAAATAAACCATCAGTGAAGACACTTAATCAATGTCCGAGAGCGTTTCATGCAGAATTTGAGGCATTTATCTGAGGTGGTCAAAATATTGGTCGTTTGAGAAAGAAAAACTACGGGTAAGTTTATTTCAAAAAGCAAGTTTTCTGCGGTATGTACATGGATATACATGTTCGGGTTCATGAAAAATTCCCCGTTTCTTATCCTGTTGAAATAAATGGCTTCCGACTGTTCCAGCGTTCTCTTCTTCTTTAGGTTGTCTCGAAAGTTCTGTCCGTTTTTTCCGTTGCTCACTAAAACTCACAGAACATCAATCCATGGGAGACTTAGGTACCATTTGACTCAGAATTTTATCCTCTTTCTAGCAGCTATATTTGCTCTCTGATCTACCAAATCAAACTTGGTTATGTTGCCTAAACGATGTTTGATAAGAATCCTGTTCTAATTTGCAGAAACTTTAAAAGCTTTCGTAGCTGCAGTTGCGTGTTTTGAGAAAAATCGAGACTTTGAGAAAATCGAGACCTTCGCAGAAATAATTTTTTGAAGCTAAGAACAGCAGGTTAGTAGGATCTAAAGGTAGTTCCTTGTAACCCGAGAATTGGTCTATTTTATCCATGCTTAACCTTTTCCGAAACTTTGGAATGAAATTTTCAAAAATTAGCCCAACTATGAGCAGATAAAACTGACGGGTGGGGAGTTTTGGCAATTATCAAAAAAGCATACAAGAGTATGGTTCGAGAATGTATCCGTAAGAAAGAGAAGGAAAAGCTGCATCGGATGCATGTTGAAACCCGTTCAGTTCTTCATTGTGCGCGGTTTCATAGCCGTTTGAAAAAACCGACAAAACTTTCAGGACAACTTAATATGATCGAGAAAACGCTCAAATCTTCCCAAAATTGCTAAATGCAATAAATCCGTACTATTCTTAATTTTAGATGCTTATCTACATCTGTTCACCATATGTTACTTCAATTCCTGAACTTATGCAATTTGGAATGCGACTGACAGCGATGCCTTTGCACGACGCCACTAGAGACCTCATACTTCTCAATCAACAACGTCTCACCGATGTTGAAGTGAAGTATGTACAAAATCTTTAACCCATTTAGAAAACAAAGATTTTGGCTTTTAGCCTCCAGTTAGAGGCCAACAATGAGCAACTGGAGAGCATGGCAAAAGAACTTGAAGCTGAAAAACAGAAAACCGGTATGGTAGCTTTATACTTTGGGAAAAAATGGAAGTCAATTTTAGTTTGCAGATTTGATTCTCAAAGACATGCTTCCACTACCAATAGCCAATCAGCTGATGAACGGAGAGCACATTGAAGCTTGTGAGTGTGAAGATTTTCAGTGTAGGCTGCTTTACATGAACGTATGCTGTCGCAGCATTTCCGTACAGGACCGCAATCGCGGCGCGTCAGACAAGTCAAGTAGAGTGGTGCAGAGTACTGTCGTGCGAAACGGCCCTTCCCCTTGCTTTTGCCTTTTTTAAAGGCAGTGGCTCTTCAAATCCTCGACTTTTTGGTTTTCCGCTAATCCGACGCGCTGATTCCTCTGATTCCGGAAATCCACTTTTTAGAGCGAGAAAATGGCGAAAACCAGCATTTTTCAAACCTCCTTATTTTGAATTTGGATGAGTGGAACGCTTCCCGCCATGGTTAGAGACGCAGAGTCGTTGTCGGACCCTCATGTTCATAGCATTGCGGCATGGCGCCTCGACGGCGTGAGGGATATCGCGACGCGTACGGGTTTAAGGGCAATGTTTTAGACAGGGGTTGCATGCTGTGCGCTCGGACCTGCTCCATTGTCGTGTTTGGGGTGCATGCATCATTCCATATGAAAATTTCGAGATGTTCGATTTTGCCGAGTCACTGCTTTCAAACCATAAACGCTTGAATTACCAGCTCTTTCAAAATCAAATGTTTTTTTAGGCCAGTACGAGCAAGCCACAGTAATGTTTACGGATGTGCCAAATTTCCAGTCTATACTACCACATTCGCAACCTAAGGACATTGTTCAAATGCTGAACGAACTGTTTCATCGTTTCGATCGTTTAGTGGTCATGCACAAGGTTTGAAATACCTAAAAATGTGATGACTACTTAAAAAATAATGTTCCTCTTCTTCAGGTGTACAAAGTGGAAACTGTAGGAGACAGTTACTTGACAGTTGGAGGCATACCTGAACAACTCTCCGAACATGCGGAAATGATTTGTCATGTGGCAATTGGTGAGTTCTAACGCTTTTCTTCACTAAAAATATGACAACAGTATAGGTGATTCATCGCACGCAGAGACAGGCGTAGTTGTGGACGTTGTCTGCGTCTCTCATAATAGACGCGCTTTCATCCTTCTGACAGTTTTCTGTCTCTCATAGAAGTACTATCTTAATCTGCTTGCCATGAAGTTCCTATATGCTTACTTCTCTTGCTAAAAGTACAGCCATTAAAGGAAACTGTTTTTCTATTCAAGGTATGGTATGGGAAGCGCGGTCAGTTTTCGATCCTATTGGCAAGAAACCCCTCCAAATCCGCATCGGAATCCATTCAGGACCATTAGTTGCCGGAGTTGTCGCTGTAAAAATGCCAAGGTATTTGTAGCGCCTACTAAGACTACGTTCAGAATCGTCCGCGCCGCAAAATGCCAACGCCGTGCTGGTGCCGTGCCGGAGCATCAGTCGATCAATACAGGATGCGTGCAGTGGGTTTCGGCACTAGCATGGCGCTAGCATGGCACGGGCGCTGTTTTCACGCACGATGACTCTGGACGCAGCTTAAAACTTGGCAGAATCGAGATGTTCTAGATACTGTCTGTTTGGCGATACTGTCAGCATGGCATCCAGACTGGAAAAGTGTAGTTTACCTGGAAAAATACACTGCAGTGAGAAAACCTATAAACACGCCACACAAACAGGAAGATTTGAATTTACCAGTCGAGGACGAGTTTTCATTAAGGGAAAGGTAACGGTAGCACTTTATGGAAATTTTTGTAGTCCGCTTTATACGTTTTTAGGGCGATGTGGAGACATATTTTCTAGTAAGAAGCACGAAGAAAAGTGTTTGGGAGATAATAGACAGGGAAAGAGGTAAGAAAAAGCTTCCTACACTGGGGTGGTATTCAATGAATGCGCGACCTCAGATTGGGCGCTGTTCTATCATTATAGATAGGCGCCCGATCAGGCGACGGGCGCCCAGTAAGCTCGGGACAATGATAATTACCTCTCTAGAAGTTAAACAGATCAATTGTTTCAATAAATTAATTACTTTAGATGTAGACAAGAACACTATCGATGGATACGAAGAACTGGAGACGGGAATGCCTGTATCCGAACAACAACAAACTGTCATTTTACCACCTGTGGCAGAAAAGTCGAAAACGTGCAGCATTTCCTAATTAAGACGAACATCTGCTCGCCTACCTCTGTTTTTGTCTTTTTTTTGATCTCTCAACTATCCCCTTGAAGGGACATTGCAGTCAATAAATTGTTAACTAAAGGTTCACAAAAGCAATCCTAACCTGGAACTCCCACTCCGTGCTAGAAAAAAGTTAAGGAAACAAGAAGCGGATGGGACATCGAGGGCACCATGCAATTTTTTATGTTATTATCCCTGTCGAGCCTTTCTGTGGCCATTTCGGGTTATGAAACTATCCAAAACCCCGAAATAATTTCTTTTTTAAACCGTATCTTGATACGAGTGAACGAATAATCAGCGCTAGTCCGCCGAGAATACAGACCATTTGAACAGTGTGGGTCTCAACAGTGCTTTCCATGTAAGAACACGTCAGGGAGCAGTCCGCGAGTGGGTGGAGCGGACGGGGGCGGAGAAACCATTGCCGAGCGCCTCTCCCCCTCCCCCCCCCCTTGAGAAGCAACTTCCCTTTTCGGAAGCTCCCTTTCCAGCGCAACTTGGATATTTGTCCAAAGTGGTCCCCTGACGGCATCGTAATCTCAACGTCCTCCGCTCTGTGAGGACGGTGTCTCAGGAGAATGAAGTATAGGGCGCACAATGAGTACCTCTATACGCTATTCCACGATGAAGTGGGATAGCAGAAATCCAAGAGAACTAACAAGGGATCGATCCCAACTTAAGGTGGCGAATTGGAATAAACCGCATATCATTAGATACGTCTTGAAGAGCTGATTCCAAATCTACCTTCCATATCTGCGACAACGTTATTTGGAAGAAGTTATGAAAGGTTAAAGACGTGAAGTAACGGGGCTTTTAGTGCATAATTCGCTTCAAAATCCAACTTGGGAGTATATGACTAGCATGATATTGAGTGTACTGTTTTCAAGGAATGCTCACACTCTAAAGAAACACAATTAAGTGTTTTTGAACAACTAATCTTTAGGTATTGCTATGTATATTTGCCAAATTTGGACTTTTCATTGCTCATAGCTTTTACCAAAGAACTTTAGTTGCTTTTTAGCTGATCAAAAACATTTATTTGCGTTTCTTTTGAATATGAGCATTCCGTGAAATCAGTACACTCAATATGAGGCTAATCGTGCACTTCCAAGTTGGATTTTAAAGCAAATTACGCATCAAAACCCCCGTTACTTCACATTTTTAACCTTTCATAACTTCTTCCAGATAACGTTGTCGCAGATATGGAAGGTAGATTTGGAATCAGCTCATCAAGACGCATCTAATAGTATGCGGTTTTTTCCAAATTGCCACCTTAAGTTGGGATCGTTCCCTTGTAAGAAACAAAAAGATCTAGAATTGTTATATGATGTGCTTTCCAAGATTGGTACTTCCTTCCCTTATTGTCAGTACTCTCAACAATCAGTATGGCCTACGTTTTGGCGGAGATTGTTATGTCAAGACCTAGAAGCGAGTCAATGCATGCAATAGATCACTTCAACGGTAGACCTACCTTCAGCGATAGTATAGTGTACGCTCATCACTCTGACAGCATGTCAAACCACTGCTCGTCGTTTAGTGTGATGGAACTTGCTTACCTTTTTAGTTATACTAGAATCCACACATTTGTAAGGAAGGGGCGAGTTCAAAACACTACAGGGTGGCCGTTAAGTATGGTTACAACATATAATATATTTTTTCTGGAATCATCTATCATGGCGGCTAATATGCCTGTAGCTTATGGATAGTCTCTACATTAACATAAGTGGAAATTATAGGGCTTTTCAAATTGAGTGTCGTTTGCACCAGCATCTCCATCTTCGCGCTGGGCTCTGCGTCTCTTCGTACATGCTCCCTAATCACTTCCAATCGATTGATGCTCCGCCTTTTCCACGCTCGCCCTGGGAAAGTGCTCAGAGAGCAGCCCTGCGGAAGAGACGCAGAGTCCAGCGCGAAGATGGAGATGCCGGTGCAAACGACACTCAGTTTGATAAGCCCTATACGCGAACTGAAGTTTTCTGATGCAAACGGGACCCCCAAGTCTACTTCCTCTTGAAAGGCGCTGCGGCGCGTTCAGTTAACACATATTTATGGTACCGTATCTTATTTTGGATAGGAGATTTTTTTGCTGTTACGGAACTGGGTTATTCCTCGGATAGCGCTCTACAGAACCTCAGGTCTTAGAATCTATTCGATTAATAATCGGGTTATTTCAACGGATTCGCAATGGGTATATTTTTCAAGTAGCATTTTTGACGCATCAACTTCAAGGTAAGCTGCTGAAACCTTATGCACGTGCAGGAAGCTTACCTTGAAGTTGATGCGTCAAAAATGCTACTTGAAAAATATACCCATTGCGAATCCGTTGAAATAACACGATTATTAATCGAATAGATTCTAAGACCTGAGGTTCTGTAGAGCGCTGTCCGAGGAATAACCTCCGAGGAACCTAGTCTTGCAGGAGTAACACACTAAGACGCCTGTGTTTTTAACATGCAAAGATAATCTTACAGAATTTTGTTTGCTATGAAAAATCACTAAACGAAAAATGTGACGCCCATACTTTTTGGCCACCCTGTTGTTAACATCCGACTTCTTTACTCACAAAATCCTTTAGACTACAAGTTCGCCCTATCATAAGCAACGTCGATGGTCTCACGTAAGGGATATCGTGGTTACTCAATCTGATCTTAACGCAGTTATTGCTATATGTCTGACCATTTGAAAAATACTAAATTCGGTGAGAATGACGTCGTTAAATCTTTTGACTCACCTCGCTCTCTACAAATGTCTTGAACTCAAATGCTTTGCAAGCTGTTTTCGAATTTCCGAAAAAAGCAACAGCATCAATTTCTACGGTTTGAGAATTCAACAAGTCATGGCATTGTTGAAAGAATGTTTAGGATGCTCGGTTTTCATTGTCATGACAATATTGCAAACAAATGGGGCTCAAATGGAGCAATGAACCGTTGGCACCTATCTTAGCGATTGCATTTGCGTCAAAGATAAAAGAACCCATTTTCAACCAAAAGCCTATCCTTTGCTTGAGGTATTTCGATGGCACACTCATCGTTCGCCCCACGCAAGCCGAGACGGACCTATGTTTTGACATACTAGATAATCAAACGGTTGACATCAAATTTACAAGAGAAACGCCTAAGCAGGGATGGCTGCCTTTTCTAAACGTTCAGATTTGCTTGTGCAAAGGAGAATGCAGAACCAGCTGGTTCAGAAAACCCAACAACAAAAATTTATTTGACACCTGCCCTCTGCACGCCTGATTCGAATAAAACTTAGCATTATTCGAAACATGTCATATCCAGCAAAAACAGTGTCTTCTGATGAGCCCTCAGATCCGCATCACTTTAGCAGGCCTTCCAAATCGCACAAGCAAATAGTTATCTCTTGGGAAAGCAAAAACGATCGTCGTAAAAATTCTCAATGATGTCAGCCATAGCAGAGATAGAGTGCCACTCTTTATGGCCTTTATACCGGATGAGTCAAGGCTGCGACTCGACGTTGCATATATTTCGGCCTGCAAAATTCGCTGCGGCCTGTCAAAACCCCGCCTCCGGGGGTTTACTACGGGCCATTGACAAGCCGATCTCCACCGAAAGGTAGACCGCACTGATTCTTACTGTACTGACAATAAAGGAAGAAGAAGAATAACTAACAATCTTGGAAAGCTCAACATCATAAAACGTAATTGACACTATGCCAAGATTCGAAAAAAAATGATGCGTGAAATTTAGTATTTTTGTCTTATTGCTTACATGAATCTGCATATTCACTGCTGCGAAATTATGCATTCAAGTCTCTTGAAAATTCTTTTGGCTTCAAAAAACAACATCAGAATTGAAATCTTGCGTGCTAGAATAAAGTAAAATCTTATCTTTGGTTCCGTCCGAGATTAGTTTAAAACCAGTACATTTTCAAGAAATGGTAAGCTTTTGATGACTGATTGGCCGTGCCTTGAGTTGCTACCGCCAAAATTTTTGTTTTGATTTATGCTATTTCACATATTTGCAGTATGGCTTCTTTCATGAAATTCTACGTCAATTTATGTTAAGAAAATTTGGAGAAAAAATATGGATGGAAGTTGTGTGAGTGACTTTTCGATTTGATTTTCAAGAATACACATTTAAGAGAATTTTAGCAGCAGAGCTGGGTTCAACTATGGCGAAGAATGCCTAACCGATCACTGCTATCCGGATTCCGACACCTATTTACTAGCGAACAGCGTAGCGGAGTTGACTAGTAGGTACACTTTGGTCGGGACTCTGATGAGCCTATTCAATTTTCCTGCAGAAATGACAAGCGAGGAAATGTGGGAAGTATTTGGCCGTTTCTTCGTTGAGTATGCACTGGAGAGAGGATGGGAAGATGTGATCCGCAGCATCAGTCCAAATTTGAAAGTTCGACTAGTTTCTAGAAAGTAATCTACACTCTGTGACAATTGTGTACTCCTTTCGCGTGAGTACTACGCAAGCAAAGTGAGGACTTGTGTGCGGACTTAAAGGCAGCGTCCAGGCAAGTCTGAACACATGGGGATCTACGTGGATAGTAATTTTAGGGCCCTAACTAAGCCACTGCCAAACCGGCAGCTCAAGTAGTGCTCTAACGGCTGAGACATTCTTTTCGAAACTGAATCCCGCGATCGTATTCCGCGTAGATTCATGGCGCAAACCGTGGATCCTGGCGCGAGACTGCCATGAATACATGCGAATACGATCGCGGAGTCCACTTTCGAGGGGAATATCTCAGCCGTTAGAGTACTAACTGCGCTGCCGCTTGGGCAGTGACTTAGTTAGGGCCCCAAAAGTACTTTCCACGTAGAATCCCCATAGGTCCAGATCTGCCTGGACGCTGCCTTTAATCGATAACGTAAATTGAATGCCCAAGCCATACGCGCGCGAACGTGGCGCGAAGCCCTGGTGTGGCAATTCTTTAAAAGGGAGTATACAGTTGACACAGAGTGCAACCACCTCATCCTTCAAACACCAGGTCTTCTTGGACAATCTCGATTATTTTCACTTCTTCATCGCCCAAGCTGTCTACATGAAAGACCTTCAAAGCCCATCATTTCGTAGCAAAGAAAATCCTGATGGAAGCATCGCTCTTTATTACCTGAGTAGTCATACTGGATTATATCCGTTTGTATTAGGTAGGATTTTACAATCTCAACTTTAGAATCCAACTCTACCTGCCTTTTTTCAGGTGCTTTAACCGTCATAGCGCAAAGAATTTTCAGCCTGAATATCAACCTGAGCATTATCAACAAAGCTGAACAACTTGTAGGAATGACCGACCACCAAAGGACTGGTGAATATGTAACATTTCGAATCGAGGTGGTTTGGTCGAAATCGCTTACTCCCAAAAAAGGGCATGTTTTAGATTGTTGAGCGCGAGGCCGATGCAAGTCATGCTCTTTCGACCGCAGACTCATCAACACTAGGTTCCTTTCTCTTTTTTTTTGAAAAAAGCCGGTTAATTTTTGATCTAGAAGCTTGTATTGCAGAAAACTTTAGCAACGAATTAAAAATGAACGCAGCCGATTTCTGCATAGCCCTACCTTACCACATCATCATGGACGAACAATGCTGTATCGTACAAGTAGGAAATGCTTTGAAGTGAGCCTTAATGCAAAAAAAAAGCTTTGAGAAAGGCGGATTGGCAGAATTTTTCAGTCCGTTTTCCCGTGGTTCATTAAATCTGACAGAAAATTTTTTTATAGAGATCATATCTCGCATGAACTCTTGGCTCTTGGTACACCAGTCACAAAAATATTCGAAATTAAATGGTGAGTTAGTGAAATATGAGATATCTTGATAGAGAAATGCTAGACACAGGCCACAAATTCCGTTTGACTACAAAAACATATGCAATTCCATCAATGCTGTTTTTGTGCTGCAAGCTATAGAGTCCTTGGAAGAAAAAGTCCGGATGCAAATGAAGGAAAAGTACGCATACCTATCTCCCACTACAATTCGAGGAGAAATGAACATATTTCAGGGAGATAACACACGGCTTTGTAATGAAGTTCCGCAAAAATTTTAGTTATCACTTGCAACTCAAAGGGCAAATGATGCTGCTTTCTGATGGCGATGTAAGCCGGACATTTATGCTTACATTTAATTTTGATATTTTTCTCTATGTAGTTTCTGTCAACCATATACTCTTTTTTCCATGGCGCGATCGCCACGCCAGAGTTTGTAGGCGATGTCGGCGCGCGTATGGTTTGAAATTCAAAACTGCCCCATCTCAGAGATTCGTGGTTGACTCGACCGCATAGAAAACTTGAGTAGCGACAGAATGACTGCGGAACTTAAAGGCAGCGTCCAGGCAGATCTGGACCTATGGGGCTTTTACGTGGAAAGTACTTTTGGGGCCCTAACTAAGGAACTGCCCAAGCGGCAGCTCAGGAAGTGCTGTAATGGCTGAGATATTCCCCTCGAAACTGGACCCCGCGACCGTGTTTCGCATGGATTCATGGCGCAAAGCGTGGATCCTGGCGCGAAACTGCCATGAATCCATACGATTACGTTCGCGGGGGCCAGTTTCGAGGGGAATATCTCTGCCATTACAGCACTTCCTGAGCTGTCGCTTGGGCAGTGCCTTAATTAGGGCCCCAAAAGTACTTTCCACGTAAAAGCCCCATAGGTCCAGATCTGCCTGGACGCTGCCTTTAAAGGCAGCGTCCAGGCAAGATCCATCCACCCAGATTAGCACATAGTTGTAAAGATGGGCCCATGAGTATCCAATCTGCTTGGTCCAATCCTTTGACGTGCCCTTCAAAAGGAGATACGGGCCTGGTATACATATCACAAGCCGCCCCTTCGTATCACAAACCACCCCTGAGGCCGAGTGCTTACGCAGGTGTGCGGTTGCATCGCAGTTGCATTGCAGTTGCACTGCACACTGCAATGCAACTGCATCCGTGCAGTTGCAGCTCCTCCCGCTGGCAACGATGGGGACGAGCAATTCGAAACTCGTCCGCTCCTTGAAGAGAGGGTCCCCAAGAACCGGGTATTTTGGAAGTTTTGAACAATTTGGACTTTACAACTGTAATCAGGGCCACGGAAAGGCCCCAGAATGGCAGAAACATGAGAGACGAAATTTTGATCGGACTCTGCTTTTAACCAAATCTGTCGCGAAAAATTTCAAACACCGGCATTTGAGACCCAGTGATGTTGTGATACTCATTTACGACGCAACTTGCGCTCATCACTGTTCTTTCGACAATTTTTAGAATGTATTTTTAATCATGTTTTCGAGTTTACATGTATTTACCAGTATTCAAGTAGATGTTTATTGAAAATTTTTACAATATTTGTACACAGTTTGGACTAGGTAACTTCAGTTTTTCAGAGTAGGAGTGTAAACAAAAACAGAGTATGAGCACAAGAGTAAAGCTATGAAATCAATGCATTTTTTCTAGCCAGCGTGGTGATAATGAGAGAAAATGTTCAATCATGAAACGTAAATAGGCGAAGCACACGTGCGATGAGATATTGTTCTTCTTTATTTTCGTCGTCTTCATTTTTCATGATGTATACCGAATTAAGCTCGATGTGGTGCGCAGTTGGTTGTTTGATTGCGCTTGCTTTTTTCTAAAATAGAAGTGTCATTTTGGAGCTGATGTGCATAGAATAAATGTCTATTACCGTCGGTGAATATTCGTTCGTTTTCGGCTTGAACTTATAGGCCCGCAAGTCTCCCACAAATTGAAGATATATGTGCATATACATACAGGGTGTCCGTAAAGTATGTATACACTGTTTGATCGTTAATATCTTTCTTCCCAGCCAGTCTTCTGCCTTGCTTCAGGTACCGTTTTGTAGAGCTGGCTTCAACTTAGATTTACTGTATGGAGCGAACCAGCGATCGCTCTTCATTACTGCAGGATTACGGTATAAACTTGAAACATATGGTGTCAATGTGGGAAAAGCTCCGTCTCAAAATTTTTCAAAAAAAAATGTGAAAACTTGTGCAATAGAGTTTTTATGGACGATGAGCTCAATACTCAACTATTCACAAGATTGCGAAGCTTTCTAAACGGTGTAACCGCACTTTTTAGCAACATTGAAAAAATGGCTGCTACCTCTTACCCGGCATAACTCTTCAATGAAGCATCTCAAAGGCACCGTCCACCCTAAGTTGAGGGTGTTGAACTTTTGGCAGCATATAATAGTAGGACCCCTTATCAACCCAATGCCCAAGTGGCGGCGCAAAATGCCGCTTCGGAAACGAGAAAATCGCTTCGGAATAGCGAAGATGCACGAGGACCCGCATCCATGCCCGCCCTCCCCATCCATGCCCGGCCATTTGTGCGCACCCATCCAATCACCGTTCTGGAAAGCCGGCCTGTGGGTTCTCCAGAACGGGGATTGCCGGAGTTTTCGCGCATTCTCGACTTCATATTCGGAATCAGGGACATGAGAAGGCTCTGAAACGACAAAAACGTGGAAGTCGAAAATCTGGGTGGAGGGTGCCTTTAATAAATTGGGAACTTTACATTTAGAATCAACGACTCTAATTAGCCTAGTGTAAAAGGTTTCAGACCGTTTTGCTTCCTTTCTGAGGCAAAATATGGCCTTTCATGGCTCAAAACCCTCTTTGAAGCTTCTACCGTAATCCTACAGCAATGAAAAGAGATGGGTGATTCGTTCCATACTGCAAATCTAATTTGAAGCCAGCTTTACAAAACGGTACCTGAAGCAAGGTAAACGACTTGTTGGGAAGAAAGATAGTAACGATCAAACAGTGTATACATACTTTACGGACACCCTGTATACAGGGTGTTCTCAAAATGTACCTGCTGATTGATTGTTAACATTTTTTTTTGTCATGAACTCTTTCGATAAGCCTTAGGTACCATTTTGTAGAGCTGGCTTCATCTTAGACATACGGCATGGAGCAAATCACACTAATCGCTCTTTGTTACTGTAAGATTACGATAAGAAATTTCAGCATTTACTGTCGCTCTAAGAAGCTGCCGTTTCAAATGACCTCAAAAAAATCTAACAGGGGAAGGATACTTGGATGCCGTAGCCATTCATAATGATTTGTATACCAAAAAATGCGCTTTTGAATGCTGGTTCGTAGACTGTCTTTCATATCTGCGAAACGATAATCTGAATGGAGTTATGATTTTTTTCATTAAAAAAAATTGCGTTCCTGCGGAGGGTCAAAATCATCAATAAAAAAATTTTCTCTCCTTTCCAAATGCTGAGTATGATCCAGATAGTCTAAATAAATATTACTACGTCTAAAATTTTCTTCAGTAGCATCAAACGGTAGGCTAGATCAAATCTGGTGGTTTTTACTATACAAAAGTAGGCTAAATTTTCAAGGAAAAAAGTTCATAACCTTCTTCAAAAGATCGTTTCGCAGATTTCGAGCATAGATTCAGAATCTGCATTCGAAGGCGCATTTTTTGGTATACAAATCATTAGGAATGGCCGCGGCATCCAACTATCCTTCCCTCGTAAGAACTAGTTTGATAAGGCTTCAACGGACGCTTAGAATGACACTCCACTTTGCACAATATTGTGAAGCTTTCTACGGTGTAACCACATTTTTAGACCATCAAAATAGTGTCTGCCACTGCTGATGGCGTAACTTTTTGGAGCATTATGATGAGATGCAAACTTCATATTTAGAATCAACAGTCCTAGCTAGCCTAGTGTAAGAGTTGTCACGTCGCTTTCTTTTCTTTCTGAAGCGAAATAAGGCCATGGCTCCATGGCTCCAAGCCTTTTCAAGGTTCCTATCGCAAGTCGATAGTAACGAAAAGGGATCGTTAATTTGCTTTATACTGTAAATCTTATATATAAAGCTGAATGTCTGTTTCTCTGTATGTATGTATGTATGTCTGTGTGTACGTATGTTCCGAATAGAAAATTCCATTTCTGAACCGATCCGGACCAAACTTGGCACACATACACTTCGGGCCCCGGCGGGTGTCATAGGCTACTTTTCGTCATCGATCGATATCGATTTTATCGATTTTTATCGATTTTTTTGCTGAGTTCACCTACGGGGCTGGGAGTTGGCACAGGGGGGTAATCGAGCATGGGGATTCCGAATACAATATTGGTTTTCAGGATTATCGATTACTTTTATCGATTTTATCGATTTTTTTGCAAAGTTTGAGCTACGGGGCTGGGAGTTGGCACAGGGGGGTAATCGAGCATGGGGATTACGAATACAATATTGGTTTTCAGGATTATCGATTACTTTTATCGAATTTATCGATTTTTTTTGCAAAGTTTGAGCTAGGGGGCTGGGAGTTGGCACAGGGGGGTAATCGAGCATGCTGATCATCCCCAAGGGGGGTGATCAGCATGCTCGATTACACCCCTGTGCCAAATTCCAGCCCCCTAGCTCAAATTTTCAAAAAATCGATAAAAGTAATCGATAATCCTGAAAACCAATATTGTATTCGTAATCAGCATGCTCGATTACCCCCCTGTGCAAAATCCCAGCCTCGCATGTCAAAATTTACAAAAAAATCGATAAAATCAATAAAAGTAATCGATAATTCTGAAAACTAATATTGTATTCGGAATCCCCATGCTCACTTCCCCCCCTGTGCCAACTCCTAGCCCTGTAGGTGAACTCTGCAAAAAAATCGATAAAAATCGGTAAAATCGACATCGATCGATAACGAAAAGTGGACTGTGACACCCGCCGGGGCCCGAAGTGTATGTGTGCCAAGTTTGGTCCGGATACGGCGGAGCCGGGTAAGCCAGCTAGTCTAACAATAAGTTGAAGCCAGCTACAACGTGGCACTTAATACTCATAGAAAGGTTTCATGGCAAGAAAGTCATTAACACTCAAACAGTAGGCACGATATTTGGACACCGTGTATGGGGTAGAGGAGCTTAGGTCGCCGAAGGGAGCGATACGCGGACATTTGCAACAAATCGCGCGCTTTTACCATTACTGCCTCATGCTATTTGTTCGCACGGGTGGAGCCTGATAAATGTTTTGGAAGAGTACATAAAAGCAACCAAAAAGTAGATGCATTTTTGAACACCCCGTTCATTTTTGAAAGAGTAAATAAAAGCCTACAGCACCCCTTGAGGCCAAAAGTTTCAAGCTGTTTGCATTGTAAAAGAAGCTTGTTTGAACTATTCATCCGGAGTCATTTGCAAATTATATGCGTGTTGCACCGCGCTACTTGGTTTATAAGATTAAACCTGCTCATTTCTTGTTTTTCTTTGTTTTCTTGTCTCTTCGATTTCATTGGATATGATATAGTTTAGCATACCGCACTCCTACAGTTTTCAACAGCGAAAAAAGTTTTACTGCGATGCACGACTGAGAGTTGTTGTTTGCCGAGCCTACTCTGCAGGTTCACAGATTAATCGCAAGTTACCCGACGATATGTTCTTCACAATGACAAGCCTGTAACTGAAGAAGATCTACCCTCAAACCCTCAAAATTAGAGAATACACCACTTTTGATGGAGTCGCCGTACTTTACTCGAAAATACTCTAAATTAAAAAATATATCACACTCGGCTGCATTATTTGAAGGCTATTAGGATTTTAGCAACTTATTTTATCCAAAATACACATTCAATTCATCGGCTCCAATAAACGCTCATAACTCCTCGTCCATAAATGCTCTGCAGATAAGGAAGGCAGATCTGGAATCAGCATTTTATGCCCTTTAATATGCTACACATCTCATTCAGAAAGGTCACTTTGACTAAACAAGCTTCCCTTGTTAAATCAGCAAAAGCGAATTTAGTGTCAGTAGTGCTTGCAGCAAAAAATATGCAGTGCAGTCCAGTGCACCTTTCCTCTGACACTTTCTTAGCAGTATCCCAGAAATCACAGAACTTGCAACTAGCTGCATTCAGCTGAATTGCCATGGGTTTATTTGATGCAATGATTTGAAAAATTACACACTTTTTTGAAGGTTTACAAAACTCAAAACGAAAGCTTTTTTCGACTTTCTTGCCACATAAATACAATATCACCTAGAATAATTATGATTTTTGATCAATGCAACCAAAACTCGATTCTTTCTTAAAAACATGAGAAATCCAATGATGAAGAGAGATGCGAGCATCGAAGGAGTGCTAGTTGCATTACTTGCTAACCAAGGTGAAGAAAGACTAGCTAGAAATTACGAGGACTGATTGTTTAGAGAAAAAGATACATTCTAGAAAATTGAGAAAATGAGAACTGTCATAGAAAAAAAAACCAAAACGTTTCTAAGCCGAGGGCTCAAATCAAACTGCTGCTCGCTTCGCTTGAAAGCCAAAGAATGATGTGTAAGATGTACGATCCAGACGACCGCAACGAGGTTTACTTGCTGTTCAAAGGCAGGTTGCAAGTTCCCTGACTCACTAAACCCGGCGAAGTGCTAATCTGGCTCAGTCCCTGTTTGTGCTGAAAAATCAGCAGTAAAATGGTTCGTACCTGGAAAATAAGATACGACATGAAAAGGAAACATCATAGTATTGACGCAATAATGAGAAAAGGAGAGGAAAGCTTCTAAATGCAGGCTGAAGAGCGGAAACGATGCCAAAAAAAATGAGCGCAGTTTAAAGCGCACCATTCACCGCGCTTAACTTGGCTGCATACTTTAACATCACGAGTCAATCGTAAGTCGCGACGAGTGTTATAAATTTCGCCTGCCTTTTTTTAGTATCGCGAGCCCGAATGTCGCGACAAAAGCGGGTTTACCGCAGCAGCACTCATTTTATCGTGATACTCCATTTTGTGGGCGGATCTACTGCGCGAGTTAACTACGAATATCTGAAACCATTGGAGTTTCGCAGGTCCTCGCGCTGCAGATGCTTAGCCTATGCAAAAGGGAACACGTATTTGATAACTGAGCGCACATTCAGAAAATATTTTTTTTGCATTCTTCTAGATCTTGAAAGGGGTGTTTCGCACTTTCAGAAACTAATCTACATTTGCTCACCCCACATTATTTCCTTGTACGAACTAGCAAAAACGAGCATGAAAATAGCTGAGATCCCTGTACATGACACCACCAGAAGCCTAGTTCTTCTTCGTGAATTTCTTACGGACGTGGATATGCAGTAAGCTACTACTATTCTAGTAGACGTTTGCATAGAAATGTGCAGCTTTAGCCGTCAACTTGAAGCAAACGACGAACAAATAGAAGTTCTAGAGGACGAGCTCAAGGCGCAAGACCATAAATTAGGTCCATTTTTTAAACGCATGTGCTTTTTCTGTGTGCAGAATAACAACCTTTTTTTAGGTATGGCCCTACGTAAAGTGCTACCAGAAACACTTGCTGTCAACATAATGGAAGGAGAGTTTATTGAAGCGCGTAAGTTCCAAAGGCTGGCATGAGGTTCCAGTCATATTTCGAGCGCTTTTAGTCGCCGTGCGATTTGGCGACTTGCCAAACGTCTTTAATGCATCTGCGGATGAAAAATGCAGTGTGTATAAGTTTGGGAAAATGATAAATACCTTATATATCAATTTCGCGCGATGAGTTACTGAGGGACAATGAATGTATGGGGGCAGGAGACCCTGCGCAAACGCCTTATAAGGAGAAAGGTCCGTCGAAGTTGTCTTTCTGGAAGAAATGGTGCTGACTTGAAGAGTACGAAACACTGATTTCAGATATACCTTTCTTTACTGCTGCGGGTTTCCGAGCAAGGAGCTTAAAGGTTTTTATGGGCAAAAAAAGTCAATGTATATTCAGTTTGAAGTCAGTCGTCGACTTTTCCTAGCGTTCCGAAATGACAGAGTTGAGTGAATATGTTTGAGCTAAAAAAGTTTTGCAAGGGTACCCGAAACTTATTCGAACCGTAGAGAAAAGGTTACGACTGATTTTATCCTAGCTGCATATAAAAATTTTTGCTTAAAAGAACCTTCGTCACTCCTCGTACAAATAGGTAGAATGGAATCAGCGTTTCATACCCTTCAAGGCAGTATCCATTTCATATCGAAAGGCCACATCGACTGACCTTCCTTTCCTTGTTTGAAGCAGGCTGGATTCGTTTTTGGATAAAAAGCAAAGGTATGTCGTAAAACATGTATGCAACCATATAAATGACCACTCAGACGTACAGGGCAGACGAACGAACACCTCAATTTGTCGCCTCCGCGGACTACTGGTCCTCGCACGATGGACAGTAGTATAGCGAAAGGGTCGGCTGACATCAGAGGCGGTGCCTACTTAGGCATTCATTCCTCTACCCAGACGAGCACACTCTTCCGAAACAAGTTTCCACGCTATTAATATGCTTTACCGTGTCCTCTCATAATATCGATCAACATGCTGATCTGAGTGTTACTACTGCATCTGCTTTATGTCGTTTTGTTGATATTACTCGCAACAGTACTATGCGTAGCGTGTGCGCACTGCTCACGTTGTTCATTGCGGGTTCGGCGTCGGACGAGCGTGCAACTCTTGCGGCTAATGGTTTGCCCGGAATACGAATTGTTTAGGCCTGTCGCGAACGCGCCTTCTCTAGAGTGTGACAGTTTAAGGGAATTTACGCCGTTTCAGAATGCAGTAGGGATGCAGTCATTGAGCATTTCCTTCTTCGTAGAAAAATTTATTAATTCCTGCACCAAAATAGGTACAAACCAGTGGCGTACCCAGGATTTCGGCTCGGGGGGGGGGGGGAGCGCGACAAAAATTTTTTTCTAAAGAAGGTGCGTGGCGTTAACCACGCACTCCGAAAAAATTTTTGGGGTGCTTCTCAAAACTTTTGCGGGTCCCCGACCCCAAAATTTTAGAAAAAAGGGGCGTGGCGTCAGCCACGCCCCCTGAAATTTTTTTTAAAAAGCTAAATTGATTTTTTAAAAAATTTTAAAAATTATTTTAATTACTTACAAGTATAAATAAGTCTTTTGCACATTTTTACAACCCATATAAGTAAATTTCAAAAATTTCGCGACCCATTCTCGGGGGGAAGGCGCGCCCCCCCCCCCCCGCCCTCCCCCTCGGTACGCCACTGGTACAAACCGCAATAATCTGGATTAATCCTATATCCCAAATAGGATTCGATATATCATTAGATAGGGCAAACCTAGCTCTACAAGATAGTGCTCAAATATCTGCACCATCTTCGCGCTTGTATATTTCTGCGGCACTAACTCATTCATAATTTCAAGTCGATACCAACAGGCTCATATTCAGGGGAATACGAAGAAGCGACCGTAATGTTTGCTGATATTCCACATTTCCAAGAAATTCTGTCAATTTCTCATTCCAAGGATGTAGTACATCTTCTTGAAGAGTTATTTCATCGATTTGACCGCTTAGTTGGAATTCACAATGTTGGTTTCCTAGCATCAAAAGCTTCAACAAAAAGTTGGCTAGTCCTGTTCGAGGTGTATAAAATCGACACTGTTGGAGATAATTTTATGACAGTGGCTGGAATCCCGGACGAGTTTCCCGAACATGCCGAGATGATGTGTTACACGGCGATTGGTAGGTAGCCAATGATATATTAGGTCGTTCCGAAAGTAATGTCGCTTTTTTCAAATAAACGCCACATTCCATGGAACCAAGGTTTTCAAGAGCTCTTGGGATCAGTCGATGCAGAATCTTGTCCTCTTTCTAATGGTTGTAATCTTATTGCATAATATTCAATGAGCTCTCAAAAAATTACTAAAACCTGCTACTTATGCTTTTTGTCATGGTCAAGTTCGGCAAATTTTTCATATTTTTGTACTGATTCCCCGAAGATATACAAGTAGCAGATAATTAGAGCAAACCCTATAGGACACAAAACGAATTTTTTCTTTTTCTTAGTTTGCTTCTTGGAGTTTGTAGAACCAATTTTTCAGTGCTATCAAATTCCATATTTGGTCAACTCGGATCTCACAGAACAACAACCGGCAAGCAACTCGGGTATCGTTAGACGCAGCTTTTTCTCCCCTTTCTACCAATTGTTTTTGGTTTCCGATTCACCAAGTTTTCCGGGATGAAATCATTATAATTCAGGTTTTCCAGGGCGCGCCAGGCTGTACCCAAAATTTCCGAAAGTTGCTAATCTGAAGCGTTAAATGCTCATATGCTTTGTAAAATTAGCGTTTAACCATAATCCACCTTTGTAATTCTCAGAATCCGAAAGTTTATTGGTGTTTGATGCATACTTGTTTGAGACAAGCCTGCAAAAATTCGGTGACTTCATTGAAAAATCTCTGCAAAAATTATGACGAGATACGGAGAGCAGAAAAAAATAGCACCGTTTCCTATAGGGTTTGCTCTATCCATCCATTACTTGGACTCCTTCCGGGAGTTACTATAAAAAATTAGAAAAATTGTGAAACTTGACCTTCCCAAAAAGCACGGGTTGGAGATTTTAGTAATTTTTCAAAAGCTCATCGAGTATTCTGCAGTGGAATTAAAGCTATTGGAAAGGGGATGAAATGCTGCATCGAATGCTATCAAGATCTCCTAGAAACCTTGCTTCCACGAAATGTAGCGTTCAATTGAAAAAAAGCGACATTACTTTCGGAACGACCTAATATTAGGTTGAAAAAAAAAAGAATGTCGCTTCTTTTGGTTGAATCGTATTTCTCAGGAACTAAACCGTTTACAATGCCAGAATATTGTGGTTAAAGTTAAGGTTTGTAGTATGTAAATGTATATATGGGAGGAGCCCAGGACCACTGAATGCGAAGCTCGCCACAATTCGCTTTTGAATTTCTTCTTGGTTTTTCACCACGAAGAAAAATATGGCAAAGCTACATATGGCTAAGAGCATGTGTCTCTCACATGTAGGGAGCAAGTGAATAGTCAGTAGATATTTTTAGGGGCAAAAATCCGATTTTCGACATGATAAGTTGCTCTTATGTTAGGTTGGTCCGAAAATTCGGCTGTTTTTCAGACCCATGCTCAAACCACTTGAAATGAAGACAGACAAACGCTTTGAGCAGTATCCGATGCATAATTCTTTCCTCTTTTTAACGGTTATGTTTTTGTTCAGAATACCTCAATGTCCGCTCAGTAATGGGCAGGAATCTCCTACACATGATTTTCACCCACCTTTAGTTTGGCTATTTTCTAAGAATTCCATTTGCAACTTTTGGACTAGCTTTTATAACAGTTACATGGAATAAACAAAAAGCAATACAATGAACTATTTCGGTTTTATCAACTAACTCTTCAGTATTTTTCAAAATAATTTTTGCAAAAGCCCTTACCTCTACGAAGTCGCGAAATACACAACCGCTTTAAACACTGAAAATTTTCGAAATTAGAAGTTTCTAAAAACGGATTATGAGTTAGCACTGATCTTCGCAAGCAAGTGAGCGTTTAGCGGTTCGAAATATTGAATTCCGAATTTTCTAGGTACAGCCTGGGACGCGTCTGAAAACAAAACTTGTGATGATTTTATCCTCAAATATTATACAAATCAGGAATCAAGAAGAAAAGAAGCCTATCAGAAAGAGAGAAAAAGCTGCATAGAATGACACCTTGTTTGCTAGTCGTTCATTGTTCTGTGAGGACTGAGATATCCAAAGATGGAATTTGATAGCAACAGAAAAATATTTTCAAAAATTTTAAGAAACCAGCTAGAGATGCCAGAAAAATATATTGTATTGCATTTTGTATATTCTACCCAACTGTTAACAAAGCTAGTCCAGAAGTTGAAAATGGAAATTTCAAAAAATAGTCTAACTGAAGATGGGTGAAAATCATGGGTTGTAGGTCCCTGCAGATTATTGAGCGGACATTGAGGTAATCTGTACAAAAATGTGACCATTAGAAAGAGGAAGAAATTTTGCATCGGGTGTTGCTTATAGCGTTTGTCTACCTTTATTTTAAGTGTTTCAAGCATGGGTCTGAAAAACAGCGCGAACTTTCGGCCGGCCTAATATTTTGGCTTGCAACTTTGCGTGATTCACGACTCACACCAACATACAAGAGTCATCTTCTAGAGCTCACTTTGCTCCATCGAGTGGTACCCCTCACATTTTTTTGCTTTGCTATGAAAAACGACATTCTTTTCTTTCCAACCTAATAATTCAATATTGTATTAGGTGTATATTTCAATGCAGGTATGCTGTGGGAAGCACGATCGGTGCTCGAACCCGTTAGCAAGAAACCCATCCAAGTCCGAATTGCTATACATTCGGGACCACTGGTGGCCGGCGTGATCGCTTCGGAAACACCCAAGTACTTTTTCATTGTTCACTTCAAAGAAAGATATTGTGTCGAAGAAGTAGTAAACAAAAATAGTAAGTATTTAATATCCAAATGACTATTTTTCAATGAGAGAATAAGAAAATGTTGACTGTGTTTCTTTGCATGACTAAAGTATTGTGGCCTGAAAATTAACTCCTGTGTAAAGTCTGAGAACTTTGAGAACTTTATGGTGAGACAGATGATGTGTGCGCCGGTCAGGTTCGAAACAGGATGTGTAGTCATTCTGATCAAAAGCTACTGGCCTCTGGTTCTTTGTAGGAGTAGTGAATGAGCCTTTGAATAGTAAGTTCAAATCTGCCCAATACAGACCTCAAGGTTATGGGGCAAGGGGAATGTGTACGAGTGTTTCCAGACAGCCGCTTGGTTACGCAGCCAGCCACCAGAGCTGGCGCCAATGCCACAGTTGGGCCAGGGCTCAGCAGAGGGCGCGCTTTTACGCTAGATGTCGTTTTTCGTTGGGAACGTAAAGCGAACTCGTAGTTTCCACTCCGAAACCTGACGATATATTAGAAAGCACAACTCTAACTCTTAGCAAGCCCGACTTGAAGGTTTAACGTAATCTCACCAGTTACAGGTAAATCAACACGTTACGACGCGACTAGTGCACAAATCTGTGTGCACACGATTTCACGTGTCAAGACACAATCTTTACGCATATAAATGTAAACAATCGGTTTTTACAAGGAGTAAGCAATATTGAGCCACCAAATTTGGTGTGTACATCCGCGGCGATAATCGAAAGGAAAATATGAAAAATTATAAAAAAATTATGTGGAGGAGGAGAGTTTCAGGTGTTTTTCGGTATTACATTGCTCCCACGCAACCTAGGAGCACCCTGAGGTTGCGCAGGACCACACAAAGTCACGAATCTTTAAAATTCTTCCCCTTCCTCACATAAATTCCAAATTTTTTTTACATAAAGCTATTCTCATTATCAAGATCTACCTATGAGTGCTCACCTTACAAGTTTCGTCTCCTAAGCTTTTACGGCTCTTGATGATATGGAAATAACCTTTTTCCGCATTTCGCTTTTGGATCTTTCTCTTATCTTGTTCTTTTCTTCACTTTGATCCCCTTTTTTCGTTGCAGATTATTGGAAGAGCTTCTACAAATACTACAGAGGGGATCTCGTAATTTGTCTGCAATGTCAAGGGGGACTTTTTTTGAATTCCCTTCTATGCCACTTCGTGCTGGACCCTGAGCTGAGCTACCGTAAGCGCGTCATCGTCGTTCAAAACCTCTTGCCAAAGGGTTTCCACAGTCTTTTTCAACCTGGAGTAGGCGAACATTACAAGTGGAGCAGCGCATCCGCACCGCCACTGGCTCAAAGAGTTAGATTCGAATGAAGAGACGCAGACTGCAAAGCGGCGCGATTCGTTGCGAAGCGGACTCCCATCAGTCCAGTTTCCGCCTACACTGAGTTGGAACTTACTATAAGGCAGCCTCGCGCTAAGGTGCCCAAAATGCCTTGAAGTTTACGCGATTGCGACAAAAAGTATATCAGTCAGCAACGCAGAAAATTTGTAGCTTGTTACTGATGAATTTAAGAATGAAATAGAGAGATATAAGAGAGTAATATAGACTATAAAAATTGGATTTACGTTTGAGATAAGTACATGATCAGGACACAAACTCACAAAAAAATCTAGAAAAGCAGTGATTTGGATTTATTTTGCAATAAATCTCTAAAAGATACGCAATAATTGATTGCCAATCATGTTTTGCTTTAGATAAGTCTGAAGTAAAAACTCAGTGGTAAACCAGCCAAGCAGCGGATACACCAGCAAATATTACAGTTATCTGATTGACTTAGACAATTTTTATCTTTGACACTCCACTTTACTGAGAACTGGAGCATTCCCAACCTTAGGTCACCATAAATCTGAAGCACTTAGCAATCAATCATTTCAGACTTTTTCTGTACTACAGAATTGTAGATTTGTGTGTTTTTGGTACTTAAAAAACAATAATCACTTCTATGCTTTTCTGAGTTTTTGTCAGAAGTGCATTAATCAGGCGCTACTATTTTGTACAACAGCTATATTTTACCAAAAAATAACTATATCAATAAACGCCCTGTATTTCATTCTCGCATATTTCCCTATCTCGTTTGTAAATTATCAGTAGTATAATAGATGCCAATCGGTATACATACTCCTGTGGCAATCAGCTAAGGCGTTGGCGCTAGCTATAGCGGTTTCCGATACTAGGCAGCTGCCCTGGAACACTTGCACGCCTCTCGGGGAAGGGCTGTGTGCTCTGTTGTGTTTCTCCTGCTTTTTTTGCCAAGTCTTTTCGGATTTTTGCCAAGACAGTTAGCTTGGATAACGACAAGACCCGTAGTTCCTCTATTGGTTCTCCTCCAAATGCTCTCGTAGCGTAAAGACTGTTGCAGGACGAAGGCGCAAAGGCAATATTGGTTGAGCGGGCGCGAACGCGACGCGCGCGTATCTTCACCGTTGTAGGTTCTGCGCCTTATGCGCTTCGCAGCTAATAAAACCGCGTTCGCGCCCAAAAATATTGCGCATTCGTCATGCAGCAACCTATACAATTTTGCCTAACGCAATTATTGCGCCAGGTTCTGCGTGTTTGGCGAAACAATGCATTTGGAGTCTGCTCTACTTACATACGGCATACCCGGTAAAATCCTTTGCAGTGAAAAGGTGATTACTCATCGAAAGTAGTGCATGTTTTATGAGATCTTTACAGACCTATTCCTGCGCTATGCAGACTGGAAGATTCGAATTTACTCCACAAGGAAAGCTGCGCTTCAAGGGCAAGGTGAGTATTTGCAACTCTGGCTCCTATACGCCACCCTCGTATGTCAAGAGGCGCGATTTTTATTGCCGGATGGACACCAAACCTCAGCACTACTGCTTCACAGGGTCCGGCACGAGAGTGGCAAATAGACAGTTGTGAAACAATTTCGCCATAGCCCCTTGCTAAATTACAATTTTCTACTTGATGGCGTTAACTATTCAAGTGTAGCGTGCTTTCTTCCTCAAGAGGACGGCGTCGTTGCTATTTCGGAAACTATGGAGGAGAGGAGGAGCTTCGAAACCAAGATGTTACTGTATAGTAAACTTTAGGTGTGAATCAGATTTTTGTAGGAATTTTGAAAAAGAAAAAATGGAAGTTTTGACAACCTCAGGTGGGCATTAGGCGGGCAGATACCCACCTATTTGGAGAAAAGTTGGAGGTTTTTATTCACATAAGTTTCCTACATTTTTTCCTACTTTGTTCCTCAATCCCACTTCGCGTTTACACAACAAATTTCGTGTCATATCGTCATTTGTACGTTGCGAACGAGCCATTTTTTTCATTTTATGGTGGTGGGAAATTTTCGGAAAAGAAGTTTGCCACGACCTTCATTCACATAATTTTTCCATAATATTAGGTTGTGTAATAAGTTCGTTCGCTTTTTTGTCGTAATTTTTCTCAAAATTCATAAAGCATAAAATGCTTGTATGCGTTTAAAAGCTCTAGGCTTGCTCTTCCAAGTACTATCATTGTTTTTTTCAGTCATGAGAGATTGAATAAAAATTCGACTACATACCGAAAAAGGGGGACGGAACTTAGGAACCCGAGCCTAATTAGCTCGATTTGGGGAGTGCCTGCAGGTTACAGTCATGCTCGCTGTCTCTGATTACTCACTAGGGCATAGCAACAATCTAAGCCCCGCCCCGAGAGCCTGTTTGGAACCTAGCCAAGAAATGCTGAAAATCTCAATTGAATTTCAGGGCTGGCTCCAAGCCAAAAACCTTCAAAGTGATCGTAAGAAGGTGAAATTAGGCTCAAACGAAAGAGAAAAACCGTGCCATCATCATAAAGTATCCACTGAATTTAAACTGATTGAGCACAACATTTTCTTGGTTCAAAACTTTATTTAAGTGTTAAATTACTGAGAAATTATTCAAAAAACCGTCAAGTTTTTCAAAAAAAATTTATTTGAGTGCTAAATTCTAGCAAAAGACTAGAATATCATTCGAGAAATGACAGTTCAAAAACTTCCCAAGATTGATGTTTATTTAAATGCTGAAATTTAGGCGAAAGACTAGAAAATCAATTGCGAAACGACAGGTTATAAAATTTCAAAATAAAAGTTTGTTTATGTGCGAAAGTCTGGGCAAAAGATTAGAATATCAAGAAATGATAGTTCAAAAACTTCACTAATGATATTGCTGAGTCTGTCAACGACAGACGATTCTGATGTGCGAAGAACATCCTGCTAAGATGCTGGAAGCAATGACCTCAACCTACGCAAGGAAAGGTTGCAATAACAGTTTGAGGCGAAATTTTCCTTATAAATAGTAGCATAAAGGGTGAAAACCATTTATCAGCAGTTCAGCACTCAAAAAAAACTATTACTGAGAGGTTCTTGATTTGTCATTTTTTGATATTCTAATCTTTTGCCCAGACTTCCGCACATAAACAAACTTTTATTTTTGAGAATTTTATAAATTGTCGTTTCGCAACTGATTTTCTAGTCTTTCGCCTAAATTTCAGCATTTCAATAAACATCAATCTTGGGAAGTTTTTAAACTGTCATTTCTCGAATGATATTCTAGTCTTTTGCTAGAATTTAGCACTCAAATAAATTTTTTTTGAAAAACTTGACGGTTTTTTGAATAATTTCTCAGTAATTTAACACTTAAATAAAGTTTTGAACCAAGAAAATGTTGTGCTCAATCAGTTTAAATTCAGTGGATACTTTATGATGATGGCACGGTTTTTCTCTTTCGTTTGAGCCTAATTTCACCTTCTTACGATCACTTTGAAGGTTTTTGGCTTGGAGCCAGCCCTAAAATTCAATTGAGATTTTCAGCATTCCTTGGCGAAGTTCCAAACAGGCTCTCATGGGGCGGGTCTTAGATTGTTGCTATGTCCTAGTGAGTAATCAGAGACAGCGAGCATGACTATAACCTGCAGGCACTCCCCAAATCGAGCTAATTAGGCTCGGGTTTCTAAGTTCCCTCACCCACCGAAAAATTCAAAAAGGCGAAAATATATATTTTGACATCTTTTTCCTCCCTTCGTTTTTCCGCTACGCATTGATAAGATTTATTTTAAAAAATGCGCTTACTCCCACTTTTTGTGCTTGCTCAATTCCTTCCATCGATCTTTTAATGCCATTCTGCAAAAGTTGTCGGAACAAGGTTTCCCGCAGCGGCGTTGGTGTCTCTCAAATTGAGTTTTGGAGTAATTAACCCATATATTCGATGTTTGGCGACCACAAGCCACCTAGTCTGTCAATTTCTGGATTGGTCGGCGACCATCCTCTCTTCAAGGTGCCCTCTCATATGCCCAACGAAAAATAGACACATCTTAAGGTTGCAGTATGAATTTTTAAGGCATTTCAGCACCCTAGGTATCTTGCGCTACAGCATTCTGTCCACATACGTCGCAACTTTTCGAGCTGTGTCTTCAAACGTTCCAACTCGGATGCAGCGTAACATAATTATCGAATAATAGAATCTTCGCCTTCTCGGATTTTCGGTTTATGGTCAAATATTTTCTTTGGCTTTTTATGAATTAAGAAAATTATGCGAGCGGTTTGGTAAAGCTGACTTGGAGCTTCCAAACACATACAAACATTTTACTAAATGCTCTACGAAATATCGAGGGAAGAACAAACCAAGAAAAGCTAACGAACTTTTCACACGACCTAGTATACTTTGCACTATGCTTCTCCTAGCTCTTGTCCGTTTATGCTCCAATTTCGTAGTCATGTCGTTATGCATGCGTTGTAAAAGAGGCAATCAATCACTACTCAGTAGAAAAAGTTGGAATTTTCAAAAGTGATGTGCGAATTGAGCGAGTTTTTGAACGTCGGTCGTGTAGGAACTTGATGAGGGAGTGTATACACCTGTAAACGTATATTTTCAATATTCCCTTTGTTTTTTCCTTGAAACGATTTTTAGCTTGACATTCTGCCACACTCGTGGCCCTGCTGCTTCCACAGGGTATGCGATAATATTCAAGACCGGTAAGTCCAGATGGCGCGTGCAAAGCACTGCCGGAGAGACGGAAGAGATCATTTAGGAAACAGACGTTCTTATTATTAATTTCTATAAACCAGTAGAAGTGAGCAGAATCATAGATGCCGATGCGCATCATAGTTTTTTGATTGTTTGCGGACAGCCCTATCGGCCAGCAGTATATCTGTCAAAAAATTGTTTATCCATTCGCCGTCAACAATGTCATGAAGAAGACTTTTAGGCTTCGCTGGACACCTACGTATTGCTGAGGAGCGCGAAGAAGAGTGTATGGGAAATAGTGGGCAGAGAACGAAGTAAGTGTACTTAGAACTGTGTTTGTAATAAAATCAGAGCGTATTGATCAATATCACAAGTATTCTGGAGGCTACTGCATGACGAAGGCGCAGGAGCAGCATTAGTTGAGCGGCCGCGAACGCAGCGCGCCGTATCTTCACCGTAGTATCTAAATCCAGCGCCTATGCGCCCTGTGGCTGGTAAAGCCACATTTGCTCCCTTATAAAATTGCGCCTTCGTTGTGCTACAGCCTATAACAATTTATGATTAGACGATCTATAGGGCATTCGAAAACTCGTGACGATGGCGCGACCGCGCGCGACACGCATGCACTTTCATCTCTTGGTTTCTCTCTACTCGAATAGTTTTTCTGCTTACGTATGATACTACGCAGACACTGGAAGTAACTGAGCTGGGCGTTGAGTTTATCCCTGTTTGTATGGGTGTTTTATGCCCCTGTATGCGCAAATACCGCAGTCAAACTCGTCGTCACGATTTTAAGAATGAACTATGTAAAAGTGTGGGGGAGGGGAAGAGGAAAATGTATTTCAGGGTTGATATCTCGCGAGAGAATTATTTTATGGAATTACCCTCCCCTTACACATCGTAAATTTGAGATATCAGTTAATTTCCCTAAAATTTTTGCTAGTCGTAAAATTTCAAATTTAGAGTAGGCACCCTGCAATAGTGCTGAAATGCTGTGCAGGACATTGAACATAATGATTGCATTCTTTAATTGCTACAAAGTTGCAGATATTCACAAGAACACCATTGAAGGATATGAAGAGCTGGAGACAGGCGCGGATTTCGCAAAGAATCAGCACAGCATTGTTCATCCGTTGCCAGCAGCAGACACGTCTGCAGCGTGCAGCATTTCGTGATTCATTACTTGATTTCTTTTTTTATCGGTAAAAAACCGTTAATCAGTTGACAACCAAACCTAGAAATCATCTGCATTGGTTTGGAGTAAAGTTCCAGCTGTGTTACAGCCTAAATATATCTTATATATAAAGCTGGATGTCTGTCTGTCGTATGTACGTACGTTCCAAATACAAATTTTTATTTCTGAATTGATCTGGACTAAACGTTGACATACACTTCGGCGTATCGATCGATGTCGATTTTATCGATCTTTTGCGAAGCTTGAGCTAAGGGACTGGGAGGGGGGAGGTGAGGGCATGCTGATTACGAATAAAGTAAAGTCGAGTAGATTTTTCGTTTGATATGGTTTGCTTGCACAGAAGGAAATGCGGTGAAATTTGCGCGTGAATAAATAGCCACGCCAGTACTGCCGGCATTTGGCGCGCGCAATTGGCCGGCGTCGCAGTCGAAGCTATTTGTTCACGCGCAAGTTTCACTGCATTTCACCTTCTGTGCAAGCACACTATATCAAGCGGAAAATCTACTCGACTGTACTAGTTTTTATGTACCAGAAATATTCCTCCTTTATCCTAATGGACAAATTAACAGGAACAAGAACTACAACGAGTGTAACTATGTACAATAACGGGGCTTCAACCCGATTTGCCCTCACAGCAGGATTCCCTAGGCTATCACTAACTAAGGGAGAGGTCCGCCTCTCTTCGATGGCTCGTCTAAACTCCCGAAACCGTACTCTTCGCGCTCTGACTGATCCCTCTGTCTAGCAGTATTTATACTCTGCTGAAAGGTCAAACAGCCTCTCTTTTCCCGCCACCGAAGATCGGTAGGTGGGTGATCTGCGCCATCGAACATCCCTCCCCTTCGGGGAGCCGACGTCCTCAGCGGCTGCAAATGCTAAGCGTTGCGCCGGGAACTCTCCTGCGGGAGGTGGTGCAGGAGGAACCAAAGCCCTTGCCGCCCGTATCCAAAGGGGAATGGGGAAGGCAGAGGAGGGTCCGCCCACGCTCCGCCCGGGATGCTCCCATTGTGTGTTGAGCAAGAATGGTGGATGGACTACCAGATATTCATCAAATCTGATGGATTAAGAGGTTAAACTATGAATTGGAACTTAAAAAATGGACAGTAAAGATTCTCAAACAGGTTTTCAGGTACCGGATGATAACAAAAATAGTATCATGTCATAAACCTAATATATAAATAGAGTAACCATCTTTCTAAGAGTCACTATATGGAACACCACTACCATTAAAATGTTTTAAATTTTTGTTCAGAATCAAAATGATGATACGAAGCCTAGAAAATGACCAGAAAAAAGATTGATTCAAAGCAGGGGGACATAAGCCGAAAACGAAGTTTCAGAGTGGTTCTAATAATAACTTTAACAAAGAGACTAAGAAATTCTGGATACTCAGATCCAAGAAGGACGTAAAATGCAAATGCAAACATCTTATGCCTGAGAGGAGGCTCAGTAAAGCTTCACAGCTCAGATTTGAAGTGCGAACCAAACCTGGAAAATTTTACCCCGCTGGCAGTTGTCGAGGCATAGGATTAGAGAAGTGGGACAATATCAAATGGGGCGAAACCAATGTAAACTACTATAACTGTTATAACAGACAAGTTTTGGTGACTTTATCTGCTTTTTTCAACTTTTTGCAACTCGAAACTTTCTGATGAATAATTTGTCATCTACTTTCGCAAGTTCACCTCTTGAAACACGACTTTTCAACGGCTTTTTCGCGAATTTTTCTCATCCTTCCCCTCCCCTTCCCCCCCCCCCCCCAAGTAAAATACTTTGGACTTAACAAAGAATAAAGTCTTCATTTGAATTGTGACTTTCTTGGCTCATCAGACGACTTGCTTGATCCTGCAAAGGTCAAATAATCGGCTATCGATTGGCTCAAATGCAACTAACGCAGTGACTATCGTAAAAGGTTGAGAAAATTAGCTCAGGAGAATAAAATGCAGAATATAGAGTAAGTTTTTTGCGAAGCCATTTATAGGAAGGAGTTCATGAAAAATTCCGAAGCTTTTATCTCTCTAAAAAATTTTTCATCAATTCCAATCTTTAAAATGATGAATTGCATTGATGTGAATTCATACAAAAGTCCATTTAAAAGATTCGCCTTTCAAAACTGGTCACAAATTTGTTTTCCCCTTCTCTGTATCTCCACTCCAAGTCTTTTGAACTAGACTTTTCCTTCCGCGAATTCCTGAGCAAAAAAGGCAAAACCGAGGCTCAGCGCGGGGGCGGAGCTTGGATGGTTGCCAGATCCTTCTTGGCACGCAGCCAGCTCCTCCCCTTTTCCTCTTGGATACAGGGGTCAAGAGCTCTGGTTCCTCCTGCACTCCGCCCTCCTGCATATGACTTTGTGGAGATATCGCGCATATCCGCGCTTGAAATGCTTATTATATACCTGAAAACATTTGTCGGACCCTATTTCTGTCTCACCCCATTATTCTTGAGTAGGCCAACGCGAACAGCTGGTTTGATTTTGCCTAACTTTTCAGTATTGACAGGGGATCATAGGTGCGATAAGGGGAGCCGGGCTCTCCCTAGGTGAAGGGGGTCTCGGCTGTTTCCGACCTTCCAAGGTGAAGGGGGTATGTGAGCCTGGGGGGGGGGGGGAAGAAAGAAAAGGTAAAAAACGTGGTATGAAGAGCTCTAATTTGTGCCTTATTTAGGTACAAATTGAAAAAAAATTTAGAATTAAAAAAATAATAAATCAAAAAATTGACTTTATGAAGATCTGTGCTCCTAATTCATTGCATCAACAAAAAACGAAAGCAATAATTTTTATCCCAAAACATGAATCTCACTGCTCGTCACTCGTCGCGAGCGGCTGCTTTTTCACTGCCTCCTTTGAATCTTGAATATTTTCGCTCACTTCCGCTTTTCTCGGATTTTTTCTAGTTTTCCGGTATTCTCTTGATTTCCCCTGAATTTTGCTAAGCAAAATTATCCTCTATCTCCTACCTTAGTATCAATAACACCTTTTTTTTCGTCAGCGTCTTCTCCATCACCTCTGAATCTCTTTGATTACTTGCTTTTTCCCCCAATTTATATTTGTCACATTGTGTGCCCTCTCTAACTGTGTGAAAACTTTTTCTCTTTAGCACGTATTTTTTTCTCTTTCTTTGATCCAGTTTTCTCCAAAAAATTTTCAAAAACCTCTCAATCAACAAGGTCATGCCAGCAAGGTCGGTCAAATCTAACTCACAGCCTACGTCGGTTCGCACCACGAAGAAAAGGGCCATTTCTTCAACCCAAAATTTGCCGACAGTGAACACTGCAGGTGTTAAGGAAGGGGAGGAGGATTTTGGAGCTTTCAGTGTTAGTGAATTGATCGAATCAATATTGGAGAAAAATACTGATCCCAATATTGAAAAGATGGTCCTAGCACTGAAATCCAAAATCCCCCTTGACGTTGAAGCGGAAAAAAGGGGTCGCTCTATAGTTTTAGCTGGGGTAGAAGAATCGGAGCCGGTTAAGCCTCTTTTAGAGCGTAAGGCAGACTTGGAATCTCGCGTGGCCGAAGTGTTGGAGGTCCTTAAGGTGGACTGTTGGCCCACGGAAATTTATCGTATGGGCAAATTCGATGTCAACAGGCCTAGACTAATCAAAGTGGTCTTCCCATCCCACTCTTTTTGGGCCCAGGCGCTCTCCAACTCCTACCTTTTGAGAGAGTCTAGTCTGCGCAACGTATTTGTACGTAGAAGCATGACGGCTTCGGAAAGGGCTCAAGAATTCGAGCTTCGGCAGATCGCCAGGGACCGGAACAAGGGGAAGGCCGTGAAAGAATGGTTCGTCTACAAAGGCGAACTTCGCCATATTTCGCAGCTTCCAAAACGTCAGGGAAACGCTTAGAGCAGCCTGAAATTTCCGCATCATTACAGTGTCTTCTTTTCAATTCCCGCAGCATAGTGAATAAATTGGATCTTTTGCATGTTTTTATCAGTTTTCATTTACCTGATATTTTATGTATTACCGAAACTTGGCTTAGCTCTAAGACTCCCGACTCCGAAATTCTTTGCGACCTTCCCTATTCAATATATCGCTCTGACAGGATCTACCGCAGGGGAGGAGGCGTTTGCTGTTTGATAAAGGAGGGCTTAGGTGTGGAACGAGTACGAATTGTGAATGAATGTAGTAGCGACGTCCTCTGTTTGAACATCTGGTCACCTTCTTCTCCTTCACCCTTACGATTTGTTGTAGTATACCGACCACCGTCCTCAACTTCTGATGATGACGTTGCTTTGGCCGATACCATCCACGATGCTTGCTCTTTTCCATATCCTACCGTAATTCTAGGAGACTTTAACATTGACATTTTTTCTCCTATGACCCGCACCGAATCACAGCTCCTGTCTTCGATCCGTAATTGTGACTTTTGTCAGAACGTGTCTTCTCCTACCAGGGGGAAATCTGCTATTGATCTAATTTTCTCATCTACCAATATAGTCCAAAACGTAAAAATATTTCCGCCTTTTGGTTCTTCGGACCACAACACTCTAAGTTTTGGTGTATGCTTTGATTCTAGTAAAAACGCTTTTTTACCATATCCTGACTTCCTCAAGGCTGACTTTTCCAAAATCAACAATGAATTACATGACATCAACTGGTATGAGGTTTTCGACAATTACGAAACTGTTGATGACATGTACTATCGCTTTTGTAATGTATTATATCGCATTCTTGCTAAGTACGTGCCTTTCCGTTTTGAACCGTTCCAGATCAGCAAATATCCTAATCACATTCGGAATCTAATTGAACAAAAAAATAGAATTTTTTCGCAATCTCGTGATCCGTAAACGATCACCTCTATAGGAAAGTTTGCAAAGATATCGGCTATCACATTCGAAAATACCTAGCTAATCGTGAAAAACGTCTTTCCGTTCTCAATTCAAAAGAAATGTATCGATATTTCGGCTGCAAGACTAAAGGAAAACAGAAGCTCGCGGTTTTGGTAGATGAACATGGAAACACGATCGTAAGCGACAA